TGTTGCGGCAGGTGCAGGGGAACACCCTGTCTCGCTGGGCGGGCATGACGGTGGCGGGAACAGTTCCTGTGGAGGCCGGCTCCAAGATCCACTTCGAGCTGTCCTGCAAGCGTGGCCGGGTCAACGGCGTGGACAGGGAGTTCGCCGGGCTCTCTCTCGTCTGGCTCCCGCCTTGAACGTACAATTTGTCCGTACAGTAAATACACCAACTGTCTATGTTTCTTAAAAAGCGACTGCTTGTGTGAAGTTCGAGATGTAGTGCCAAGACACCATCCATTCATTGTCAGGCCAACTGGATACAATAATCCTGCATGGTTAGCCGTAAGAATGGCCAACCGTCGGCCAGTACGCCGCGACCTATGCTTTAGATAGACAAGCGGAGGGCCTCGCATACATAAGGCATGGGAACTGAAAATTACTAGTACTCGTATCTCATGTGAAGCAGACAATAACCCCGAGAAGACTTTCCATAGTCATCTCCCGATCAAGAGATTGCTCATTCGAACTTTCCTGTACGTAACATCAGCAAACTTCAGGGAATTATCCCTGTAAAGAGACCGCTGCTATGTCTTCTGTGCTAGGTATTTCAACGGACCAAGTACTAGTATAAACATGTAGCTACCGTACATGCGGTTTAAATGTTCAATTTTCGTCCACTAATATGCAATACACAACGCGCCATATTTTGAAATAACGTTAACGTTTCGTAGACTTTGGATACAAAGACATAACACTTTAATATGTTTACTCATAACCAGAGCTACCTCAATCCCCCCAAAAAGTACGTGTACAACAATAAAAATTACAGAACTTGACAAAACTACGTTGTGATATTTATTTACACCGACACACACACCTACAAAACCATCCCTCCTTGAATGAAGAACACGTGATGTTACCAGTACTGTCCACGTCGACATTTTAGGTGACTTTCATGTCATTCTTTTTAAATGTTTTGGCTAGTTGGTTAGCACGAAATTGGCTCCAACCAGAACATATAATACTTAACCCTAGCACCAATATACACATGTAGTTCCATGTTTCGTATTTCATCTCCCGCCAAGTAAGACGCGTCTGTGCCTGGATGACGTCGGAGAAATAATGTATTATTCAATGTGCCAATTTGCAATAACCTAACAGTCCTATTGAGAAAATATCTTTAGTCTTCAAACTGACTTAATCTGCTACAAAACTCTACGGTTCAAAATTACTATCATATGAACATGATATATAACCTCTACCTCTCCTTATCAAGCTGCCTCGACAATCCTATCATTACGCTTTCTCTGACACTTTGGCCATACTGGTAGCTTCACACTTTATATCCCTCACATTTGTAGCTCTAAGAAACTACATGTAGTTGTAATAATTTTCATCAAAATTGTTGTGAATTCAACTTCTGATAGTTTTTCTTAAGACGGATGTCCCTTGATGATGATGTAAATGCTGACCTGAGTGTCAAAATGGTGTTTATCATTTCTGTGCTTTGAAAGTTTGAGCTTCGTCATGCACCACAAGGGAGAAGTCAGTAAGAAAGGACTTACCCTAGCAAAGGAGAAAACTAGCAAAAGTGAGCTTTGCAAATCAAGTTCTAGGTGTTACCACCCAGCAACTAAAACAAAAAAGCAGCCTGGATTGCTTTAAGTTGTAGTTAATCCTAACTGTTATGGTAACTTTATTATTGAAACAGCACTGCCTTGTGTCATCAAAGGAAGAAAGTCTGTTATACTAATGTACAAGCATTCTGGATTCCCACAAAACTACGCAACTTGATTTTTCATACAGGTTTCTTCTTACCACTAATCTTAGTGTTTGTAATGCTAACCCCAAGCCACAACCCACCCTTATATCCATGTTTTTGCACACCTGACTATGACCTAACACCTGCCCACCCCCCACCTTCTTCTCAATGTGTACCCCTTATGATTAACACTGAATTGCGCACAGTGACAACATTCTTCAGACATTGCCAAAGAAAACATGTAGCTTGCATTGCAAACACTTTGTGTATCTAAATACACATCTAAACTTGAAATATATCAACTTAAATTCAAATGCTCTGTCCTTGAGGCATCATCACCAAAAAAGCCATGAGATGAAACTAGAGATTGTATCTCAAACTGAATAAACAAGTCAGCTGCAAAATATATGTAAACTTCCTTTTATCAGCATAAGAAAAGAAGCATCATCCACATATGCAGTCAAAATGATTAATTGGAAGCTTGTGACAGCTTACGCAAACTTATCTATTGCATTTCCCCAAGACAACTGATACCTGCATTAAAGAATATTAAAGGCACTCTAAGAACTCATTATCTCATATGGGTGGTATCCAAACTCGAGTAACAGTAAGACATTTGTAGTGGGGAAGGGAGATTTTAACATTGAAAGATTTATCTATCGTATCACATGGCACTTGCCTAGCACATACGTTTCAATTTCAACTATACACCATAATGGTACCTTGCTGGATGCCATTTGTCAATAAAGTTTTCAAGAGAGGACATGCAGCATTTCAACCTTTTCACACAGCTCAACTCCTAGGTACACAATGGACTGATCCAAAATACATGCACATGTTTATGACAATGTGTGTGTGTGTGTGTGTGAGGGGGGTAATTCTGAGTTTCTGATTGGTTAAGAAGCTTTTCCTCCTCATGGGTTATTCCACTACTGCAGAGGGGAGAACGGAGCAGGGTGCATCACACGGGACTCCATCTTGCGAATCAGCGGCACTGTGGAAAAATAGTAAGTTGTCACTGAAACAAACATCACATACCAGCGGTAAAAGTACTAAAGATAAAATGAAGGCAATCTTGATTCATGTGAAAGCAAATCAAACAATAACAAAGGCATTTTCAGCACCAAGGACAGGGATGCCAGCAGTTTGAAACATATTACAACAACAGCAGTAAAGAAGCAACAGCAAAGGCAGCTCTTCCTACCTGTATATGAAACACACTGATCCCAGCCTGGCTTCCTCCAAGCAGACTCACGGGTTGCCTTACGTGCTTGTAAATCTTTGTACGCTGGAAGGGAAACCCATATTTAACACACTGACTGTGAAATTGATCTGTAGTTACTCAACAAATCAGTTCCATACGCAATATACAGTATGTCTATCTTATTGTCAGAACTAAATGCTTTCTAGCTGCTTAGCACATAACAAGTGGAAAAAAGTTACAAGAGCTGAACACAGTGGAATCAGTGTGCTAGCACCTTGCTGTAATGCACATGCACAACTGTGTGGCTCCACCCTACACGCCATACGGTGGATGTAAGGAGTGGAACCTACCCCAGAGATGGTGCACACAGTACAGAGGGCCGATCTGGGAGAAGAACCCGCCGACTGCCTCGCTGTTCTCCTGACGATGCTGGATACCGCGGGCCCTGGTCAAAAGTTACAACGTAAGTTATAACTGCAAAAAGTTAGCCGCCAAAGGCCATCTCTTGTAAAAAGAGCTGTACATGAACATGAAATCTAAGGGGCATTTCTAAGCACTTTTGACCAATAGCAGCTGGCCCTAGTGATGACATATTTTGAAAAGGGAAAAAGTCTGCGACAAGCAAATTACTGTAAAGTTAATGTTAGACAACAGAAAATACCTTGGGGCATCAAACCTGATAGAGTGTTATACAAAAGAGTTATTAAGAGCCTTTCTTAAAAGGAAACATGCTTAACAACTGTAACCAGCATTCAACAATTCTTGTAACAAAAGAACAGTTAGTTTTAAACAATCTGAACTGAAACCCTTTACCTCCCCATTCCTGAAATGGACTGACCAAAGCATCACTTTTGTTTAATGATACATTTGGCCTGTTCCATTGTCAGGACAGGGTAAATGTTGCTGTCAAGCAGTGCATGCTTCTGTGTGGTACATGTTGACATTTTCAGGGTATAAAACAATTCTCAAGTGGCAAAAAAATGCCAATCATGTGAGTAAAACATCAACTCTTGGTTGTTGGTCAAACTCATAGAACAGCAGAACATGCCAGAAAAGACCTGATGTTTCTGATTACTAGTGTTCTTTTCTACAAATGTTAACAAGGTTGCACCAACTCCATTTCATGATTCTTGCATAAAAATATGGTGCAAGCAGGCAAAATGAAAATAAAACTAGTAATCCTGTAGTAGGCCCAAATGCTGCCATTGGAAGCCACAAACAGTGGACTTCCAACTTTTGATGCATTGATCACATGTACATGAAGACAGAGAGCTTTCCTACAACTGTTTGTCCTTCGCCAGTTACTACATACATGTATGGTTTTCCTAAATCCTCTATATACTTATTCCGCCTAAATATACATTTGTACATTCTTTGTATGACAAGAATCTTAAATTTTCTTCCCTTTCAGAATAAGCAGAAACATCAGTCAATTCAAAAGTCTGCAGAAACAGATGCTGGGAAAACAGTAAGACATGCAGAGGTTGAACACAGAGCGGCACTCTGTTACCAATCAGCTCCATGTTTCCTCCTCAGGTCATTGACCTCCCTTTCTGTATAACCCCTTCTTATGGGGATGGCCTTGGCCCTGAGGGGGAGAACGGCAGGTTATAGCTAAGTCTGAACAGGACAAGTCACAGTGACGCTTCTAAACATTAAGTCTGTGGGGCGGGGCACATGGGTTCTAATGTAGTTATCGTTTAAATAGTTATCACCTTGTTTATTGGTTGTTTAGTGACAAGCAGCACTTATAGTTATTGAATGTGTGCTCAAGGTGTGCCTCTCTACTTAAACATGGGATCTTGGTCCCACGTTCTAACTGAAGCTAGGTAATCTTTTTCATCTGAGTGGAGAACTGTGTAAACTTTGGGACTATCATGAACCTAAACCCTGGACATCTAAGTCAAACAGTGTCACCCATTGACCAGATACATCTGTTCCATGACACAAGGACAGAGAGCAGACATCAAGCCAACAGACACAGAGCAAGAAGTACCAGATATGAAATGCTATCTTGGGTTTCTTTGACCAATTTCTTCTTGATATTTAATATCAATTATATTGACTAATATTGGAATTCCAAAAGAAAACAGTTGCATGCATTGGCCACCTTTATACCTTTAGTTGAGTTGTGTCTAATTTTTCATACCATGCTGGAAACATAGGAAATGACAGTTACAGTTAACCCTTTCATTTTCCTTGCAATAATGTTCTGTTTATCATTATTATTGACAAACAACAGCCATATTTTATTCCAAACAACTTGTGCTAAACATATGTATTTAATGTAGTGTATAGATTGGTTAGGAACCATTTTGGGAATGTTTCTTTGATTTTTGTTGTATTGTGTGAAAGATCACAAAGTAGAAGACTCAGCATTTTACTGCTTGCTAAGTTTTATATGTATTTTGTTTACTTTTGGATGACACAGATGCATGCACTGCTTGCCATTGATACTTTACTTTATCCAAGGCACATACAACTTCACATTGCATCACACATGGCCCAGACAAACATGGAAGCATACACACATGCAACAACAGCCACTCCTACTTACCAGTTATTTCCCCACTCAATCATCGTCCCTGGCTGAAGGGTACAGAAAGAGTACAAGATGTTAAAACATATCAATAGTAGGAATTTTGCATACAATAGTACAAAAGCTGGAACTGGAAGCAAACAAGAATGTATACAAGTAACTTTTGCATTTGAATCAAAACAAATATTTTCATCGTAGACAATTAGGTTGTCATTTTATGCTACAGGGTTAGGTACACCAGTGCACCTACTCTCCAGAATGAATGTCTACATATAACTAAGATGAGACTGTACCTTGAGTTGATAACTTCTCATCTCGTACACGTTGAAGCCTTCCCGTGGCTGTGGCTCGCCCCAGAAGCTGAACTCTAACAACAGCTGGTTACTGCGAGCCCGCAGCATGTTCTGACGCTTCTCTATAAATTGTCGCATCTCCTGTTGATACAAAGTACAGAGGAAAGTGTTCATGACGTAAGTTTGTGGTAACTTTTATGCCACTTTTCTACTTTTTTAAAGATGAAAGTTGAGTGCTTTCTTCAATATAGGGCAGTTTGAACATGTGAGTAGCAAAACCCCCAACTTCAGATCCTTGGGGCTGGACAGCTCATCATGGAAATGTATGTACCAACAAATTGCAGCCTTACCTTGTCACCCAGTAAGGCCTCTTCACTTCTGGTGACCCCATCATAACCATCTCTGTATATCCACAGATGCACTAGTAACAGGAAAACATGCACATGTTATATATCAACAAATACTGTGCTGTTCAATGATTGGTTAATGTCTAACATAATAACACGTCTTTGTCTCAACTCCTTGCTCCTATACCTATACTGACCAAAATAAATGCAAGTGGTCACTGTATTTTGTATGTCTAAAGTTGAATTACCTGCTTGATCCTGGTATCCAAAGGCAGTGTACCATGACCCCTTGACCTCTCCTGGGAACTCTGAGGACTGGTGTATCCTGGGGTAATACTCCTCTCTACAGGACAGATGACAACAACATGACAAGATGATAAGACACAAGTGTATGTGACCAGGAACACTCTTTTAGTTGATAAGTGCACACAATATATTTCCTAATGCATTGATGTCCTTTGGATGAAAAGTTTCAAAATATTTTAAAATATTTGCAAAAATATCAAAACTTCTTAATCATCGTTACTTAAAAATCACCTATCAGCAGAGTTAAAACATGTACATATACATACATCAAATTGAATATAATAGGGACAATGAAACTTAGGAATTACTTACGTCATTTCCTTATATTGTTCAAAATACTCTGGCTTGACATCATGGACTGAAATAAGAAGAGAAAGTTAAAACACTAGTAGTAGTTGTACTGAGATGGTCACTGCAAAAATGAAACCATCACAAACTTTTATTTAACGATTAACAGTATGTACTAACTTTGCATCTCGTAGACCAGGTCCTTGGCAGTGAGCAGACGGGAGTGTGCGTCCGTGGGTGCCTGGATCTTCTCTGGGAACAGTTTAGTGAACCAGCTCTTGCCACCCTCTGCCTTCTCATCGTGTACGGCTGTAGATGTGAACAGGGGCCTGGGGGAAAACAAGGTTTAACTTCACAAGATGTAGTCATCTAAGGACTTACATCTAGCTAATTTCACATTTTTACCTTATTACTAATACTTCAGGTGCTAGATTGTGAAAATTCTCATCTTAGAGGCAGCATTTACCATTTCTTAGACTTAAGGTCTTTTCTACAAAGGTGTTTTCAACAGCAAAAACTCAATGGACAATCAGACATTGCTCATTGCTGTATATTTGTATTTATCAAAAACACAGGCACGTATCAATGTGACCTTGTCCTCAGTACAAATACTGAGAGCTGAGATATAAACAATTTGATACATTTCTAAAATAGGCTTCCTTGGTAACTTTAATCCCTCAAACACGTCATATGATACAGATATATCTCAGCTGCATTAGTGCGAGGTTACCCTCTTGCCTCATGTGCCTGCCCTGGGATTTTGTTTATAGATCACAGAAGATAACAGTGATAAATCATAGAGAAACAAAAATATAAATGTAAACATTATGCAAACACAAATGAAGTTTCAATGCTCATCTTATCCATGTAGTTTTCTGTGGGCAAAGTGTAAAGAAAGTACTGTACATGTTTCCGTACATTGAGCACTAATACATTCACGCTTCTTGGAAAACCGCACGTTTTACTTGTCAAAACATTGGCTGCTAGCCATTCTGGGTCAACTAATATTTGCATTTGCGTCATCGCTGGGTCGACCAATGAAAACGTAGTATTTGGACAACGCCTCCACTTAGCAAATAACTTCAGAAGAACAACAAAACGCCCTGAAAGAAATACATCTATTTCTCACAACTCGAAGACTCCACAGTCTCTTTGATAAAGTAAAAATATAAGTTGTTAGAAGTTAAGAATTTCAACATCGTGTGGTCTTTGGAATTAATTTCGTTGGCATATAAAACGTTATCTATTTTTTCAGATGGGGAGAGAGCTGGGAGAGACGGTATGCCCTCTGCCGAACAAAACTACCTCGCCAGAACAGTTCTGAAACGTGTCAAAACTGCAAGATCTCTCATCCAAAAACACAGGCAATCATTCTCGATGCGCACACGCCCTGTACACCTTTTACATACCTGCAAACTGTGGAATTTGCCTGCTGACGCAAGACACTCGTCAACCTTCCCATGGTCGCCGCCATCTTGAAAATTTTAATTTGACCTTTAACCTGAATATTTACAGCTACATTTTAATCAGACAGATAAACCAAAAATATGACAGTTCACGTTGTAAAAGTTACAAATCATATTTTATAGGTACAAGTTGTGCTGTGTTTCTAAATATGAATATCTTTTTTTTACTAAAAACAACAAAGTTATTGTCCCAGCATGCCCGTAACCAAGCAACGGCCGCCATATTTGTTACGAAAAAAAGCATACCTTGGTTTTGTTGTCCTTCTACTAGGAAACTTCTCCTGGCATTTTGTCCAGATTTTGCCAATTTTTCTGATCTTTAGGTGCAAATCTTAACTGCCAAGATGACTGTGAGTCTAGAGGAATACTTCAGGACAACTTTTGAGGACAAGCTCCTCGTGTAAGTTGAATTTTTTTGCTGTTTTATAAAGGTTTGGCTGTTTTTCAGGTTCTTCTTCAGCTTGCCAGATGATTTTGTGCAACTTGTCATGATTATGTAACTGCTATCATCTAGCCTATGTATGTGTGCGTAATAAAAATGGGTTGTGCATATGGTATTTAAGAACCTGTATCATAAAATTATAATATATCTGCCTTAAGCAATAGAACAGCTGAGTTTTTAAATGTGTAAATTATATAATTTTTGTTTGAAATCCCAGACATTCTTCAAAACATCACCTAAACAAAATATTATTGGAAAGCAGTAAAAACAGTTTAACCATCAACGGATGCAATATCATAGCAATACTGTAATGTGACTGTCAATGGATGCAATATCATAGCAATACTGTAATGCGACTGTCAATACTGTAACATTACTGTTTTAGTAATACTAATATTGCTTAAGCAGTCGATGGGATTTTGGATTTTCCTTCCTGCCCATTGGCTTTTAATGGTCAATATTGTAAAACTTCCATTGTTATGTATTTCTCTTGACTTTTACACCACAGAAAAATGCCTGAGAGGGAGGATGATCACCTGACTCCTGCCACCAGGCTGCTGGAGAAGCGGCGAGAGATGCAGGAAGTTGAGCAGGCACTAGCTGCTCAGAAAGAGGCAAGCAGTCCTCTACTTTTCTCAACTTAAAGCTTCATATATTCATTTCTTTCATATAACATAATGATTTATAAGCTGCTACAGTGTTTGATCAATAGGAATCATTTTCATTTCTGGAATACCAAGGACATATTGGTATCCCACTTGAGTTCTAATCTAATGCTTTCCTGTAGGATTAAAGTTACTGATAATCATTTTTGTATCATACAGGAGTTTCAGATGAAGATGGAGAGCCTGCAGCAGAGAAGGGAGGAACTGGAGAGGAAAGAGTATCAACTTAAGGAGTCACTTCTCAAATTTGATAAATTCTTAAAGGTTTGTTGCTTTCACACCATTGTTGCAAAAGTTTTGTTTATATGGTAAAATTCTTAAATTGCAAAAGTCACTTCATAAAATTTATAAGTTGTACAGTTTTTAAACCATGTATTGCATGTGTTCACTGCATTACCTATAAAATTCTGAAACTTTTTTTATTCCTCCACAGGAAAATGATGCAAAACGAGCTCGAGCAGTCAAAAAAGCAGAGGAAGAGAAAAAATTAAGTAAACAGAAAGATTCAGAAATATCAAAGTAAGTATGGTCCTAAACATGAATGAACTTCATTGAGATCAACTGTACTTTTGCAAAGTATGACAGCATATGATTCCTTTGGATTGAGAATCACAAGTGTGACTATCATGCTAATCAAAATCATTAATTTGTATGGCACAATTTTCCAGGTTAGCAGAAGATGTGGATGAGTTGAGTAAGGGGCGTGACCAGGTGCAGTCGCGGCTGGAGAAGCATGTTATCTACCACCGCTACCTGGAGCGCGTGCTCGAGCAGGCCGAGGAGTTCCATGAGATACGGGAGGTCATCGACCGGCACGGAACACTCGTCACCACTCATGAGGTCAGCATTTCAAGGTCAAAGTGGGACCTGAAGGTTATACATGCCCATAGCAAACCACCAGTACTGATATATGACTGTCAGTAACTGTTTAGTTGCTGTCATAACTGTATGTATATTGCTGAGCTCAAAGGAATTGTCATTGGCTTGGAAGGACTGTCAAACAAGAAACATTTTTTCCTTCAGTCATGTCAGAAAGGACTACAAAATCTTCTTCTTGTTTTAGGTAGTGTTTGTCAGCTAGACATGCTGTGGTAATGATTACTGTGCTTGGGAAGAATTGATGTAAGATTGCATGGCCCTCTACCAGCTTTCTTTGAACTGCAGTGGGGTTTATGTTGGAAACTAGAATATTCTCCTCTCTCTCAGGACTTGCTTGAGCGTGAACAGAAGAACCAGGATGCCATGGAGAGGGAGAAGGCACGGCTGGCCAAGTTTCTGGAGGAGAAGAACAACGAGATCATGTCCTACAACAACGAGCTGGCTAACCTTCAGACTCAACTGGACAACGCACAGGCCTCAGCAGTCAAATGGTCAGTCAGTAAAACGTGTTATAGTCAGCGATCTAGCAATCCTTATTATGGATCTTAATCATAGCTATTGGGTCTCCTCAAGCACCCAGTCTCACATATTACATGCAGAAATAGCAAGAGAGCAAAAGCCTATTGTTTTAGGTCTGGGATAATGAAAAACAATCAATATAGGACTATTTTATTATTACATTTGGTAATTTGGTACAGTCCATGATACCATGTGATACTCTGGGTACATTCTAATCTATTCTGTTTCCTTTCCTACTAGGGAGGCCATCTGGACTCACATCAAGAACACAGCTGCAAAGAAGACACTTCTGTTGGGCAGAATCAAGATGTAAGTTTGAAATGTCATAACAATGATGGCTGCAAGCTAGATACATCTACATGTACAATACATACCTGGCATCATTTTCATGCCATTATGATGTTATGTATGGTATAAAATGAACTGGTGTTCAACATTGAAGTCTTGCATATTTTGTAGGCCAACGATGTACAATTTACAAATTCTATCTTTCATCTGAAACACTGCAAACATTGAGATGATATTTTCATATTTGTACAGGGCAACACATAACCTGTTCCAGTTGGTGAACAGGCATCTGAAACAGGCTGTGGAGATGGAGAACACACATGAACAGCTCAGCAAGGTAAACACACTACTTAATCAGACATAATGTATTGCAATGTATTGGACAACTTGGCTCATGCTCCATATTCACATCACCTGAAATACAGCACATTGAGCAAGATCAATTTTTGGAGTTTGATGGCAATCCCAGAATGATGAACAGAATGAAATCGATGGAATATCTGCATTTTCAATTGATATAAAGGCTAAAGCACAATAATACATAATTATAGAAAGAGAGAAGAAACAGCTTTTGACAACAAGATATTTCTTGTAAAACACATGTGAATAGGAAGAATGACTGGAAAGTTATTAATGAGAAGCCATGCACGTATATGGAGTAATTGGATTGGGATAATGCAATTGACATTATTTTGTGCTTTTATTAACCCAATTTTTTGTTTGTTACTGTCCAGATCCAGACATTCATCTTGGATCTCACTCAGATCACCCAGGAGATCAAACGAGCAGAGACTGCCGCGGGGACGTCAATTTTTGGGGGTTCATCTTCGTAAAAATCCCTCTGTCCCAAGGATGTACAGACTTATCTTTTATAACTCTGAACCTACATTTCTCTCCCCAGCATCTACCAACTGCCTACCCCTCCTTAACCAGCTTGTCTCACACCAACCAGCCCTGCCTTGGCTCTCAACTCTAAATGCTTGATTATCACCTTTTCTTCTCTAGTATATACTGCTTTTTATCTTTCTTCTTACCTTTCAGTAACTATCAGCTGTAGCCTGCACACAGCTTGAAAAGCACTTTTTCCCTGCACAAACTTTCCACCCTTTCTGTCATAAGACTTGTATCCTTTTTCGCGTGGCTACTTCACTCCTAACCCTCTCCCCACCCCTTTCCCCTCCTCCCCTGCAGATCCAACAGTTCTGCCTTGACCTTAGCTCTGTGGTCAATGACCTAAAGTCGGAGTTCACCATCATGTACACGGCTACTGGTGCCCGTATGGTGGACATACCCGCTATGGGTCCTCCACAGCAGCGTAGGACCAGTAACACAGCCAAGCCGTCTCCCAGGAGGCCCAGTCAGGTGGAGGTGCACATTCCAGGGAAGCGCCGGCTGTCGCAGGTGCAGATCCACGCACGTTTCCAGGACATCCCCGGTATCGGACGGGACAGCCCGGACACCGGCAGGCGCAAGTCTAGCCAGTCTCGACTAAACATGCAGAGGCCAAACTTGAATTCTAATGCTTCTTAGCTAGCGGGAATTATGGTTCTTGCAAGCAAATCTTGCTAGTTTTTGCATTGACAGAAAAAAGAATTTCTGCTCTGATTTACCTGTACAGTTTGTTCTGCACTGGTTTGAATTTTGCATCCTGAACTTAATGTTGAAAAGGACTACTGTTTGTAAGTATGACTTATGGGACTTTGATTACTGTACTTATACGAGCTTATAGCCTTTATTACACCCAGTCTAGTTAATGTTAATCCAAAAGATGACAATAGTACTTCAGATTTAAGGATTCATGAGCTGTTACATGGCTGATATAAGTTAAAACAACATCAAGCTGCAACCACTCCTTGAGCATTACATTGACAATTCCACAATGCTTGACTTCGCTCTAGGTTACAACCTAAGTGCCTTATACCAACGTTATGTGAGACATTAGTCTTTCATTTTTAGTTGGCTTGAAGATTTTCATTAAGGTGTTTCCCTATACATGTAAAAATATGATTGCACTATATTGTAAAAATATGAGATGAAGACTGGTGCAGTGTATATGTGTTTTATTTAACACAGCAGATTGTGAATTTGTATTATATGATACATGTATCATCATATCCAGTTTATATGAATTCTGATGTACTTTTCACAGGAAACACTAATAAAATAATATTCTTAACCTTTGTTTCACTTATATGCTGCTTATTGTACACAGATACTGAGAATCTTTAGATAAAATATACATTATATGATAGAGATTCTTTGTAAGAAGCAAAACTACTTGTTTCACTTTAAAACAATGCGATGATCGTGACACTTTCATATATACAATGTACAAAAACAGGAACGTTAGAAACTCATTAGATAAACATGTACATCCAAGTCTTATGTTTTTTTTTGGTCAAGTTAGTGCAAGGCTTGGTTGAGAAAAATATACAGGTACAAATGTACGTGAAGACTTTGAATTTGAAGGATTTTTTAACAAGCAATGTTTATTTCATAAAACAAATTGAATACAATTCATTTTGCTGCAAGCTACGTACAGTGCAGAATTCAAATGATTAAAAAAATGTTTAATTTCCCTCCTTAAAAGGTACCGATGGGTCATTGTGTACTACTTCTTCCCTTTCTTTCCCTTCTTGCCCTTCCCTTTGCCCTTGGTCTTCTGCTTGAGCATCTTGCGGACCTTGTAGGATCTCCAGAAGGCCTGGACCACTGTGGCAGCCCGGATGGCCATCTCAAGCTCCCTTTCTTCTTGTTCCTGGGAAGCAAAATAGATACCTCAATTAAATACAGTAACTGTAAATTCAGCGTGAGTTTGTGTTACACAGACTAAAGTTCTTTGCAGTAGAAACCGTAGGCTTAGACAAATTCTGTTGAAGTTACATACCTTTTTCTCTGCTGCTATCCTCTTTTCTTCCATGATCTTTGTGTACTCAGCCTCCAGAGTCTTAAACTTTTCTTCCAGTTCGTTAAGTTGGGCCTTCTCCTCTGTGTACACTGCATCCACCTCTTCATACTCCGTCTGTCGGTCGCCCATGTCTGCATCGTACTTCTGAATCCAGTTCTCTACTTCTGTCTCGATCTTGAACTTCCTCTGTGAGCAGAAAGTTTCACATTTTAGTCCAACAGTCTTAGAACTCTATCCAAATATCAAATTTTTAAGAGAAAGTTTATTGCATTTAGTTCTTACCCGTAGGCTAATTGCAAGTACATGTAACATAAAAATAAAGGATGGACAATGGATAAAAATATAGTATGTGACTACAGTAACTTTAAGTTCAAGTTGTGACTATTCTAACTTTAAGTTCAAGCTGTAAAAGGCAATAATTAGTCCAAAGTACTCCTCTCTCTACAAAATTAATCTGTTCAGTGTTCAGCACCTTTCTGAGTGCCAGCTCGCTCTCCCTGTGCTCTGCTGTCAGGTTGGCCAGCTGCTGTTTCAGCTGGTTGATCTCCTGCTGGAGTTTGCCCTTCTTGGACTCGGAGTTGCGTGTGTCAGCCTGCTCCTCCTTGTCCGCGTCCATCTTGGTTCTGCGGATGTGCTCCTCTGAGAACTTCTCGATCGTGTGCAGCTGGTTCTTCAGCTTGCGGATGTGGTCGTTCCTTTTGCTGATCTAAAGGAAGAAATAATTCAGATGTCAGATGTGAGAAAGAGCACAGTACGGCAAATTTTGCGATCAGAGAAACTTTTTTGGTTCCAATTTCTTAGGGCGTCAATAATCTAAACTTGTCCCTGATCATTAGAATTAAAGAGTTCCAATCAGCAAGATGAACATTGCAACAACATTCCTTCCTCATGACACCCCTGGCCCCCAAACGCATTTCCTACAATGCCCCCCATTAGGTTTGACAGTGATAGGTGCACACCTCCATGTCCCTCTCGTCCTCTGCCTCCCCCAGCTCTGCCTCCAGTTTGTCGATGATCTCAGCATTTTTCCTGTCCCTGATGGTGATGCTGTCCACGTACTCTGCCCTCTGCTTCTCCTCCAGGGGGGTCATCAACAGCCGCTCCACACAGATCTCCTTCAATTCGGTTAGACCCTGTAAAATACAGGAGCGAGATGATTACATTAAGAGTATCAAAGATCACAATCTACATTTTTTGTGTGATTTCTCCTTGCACAGATACATGTATGGTCACTTTTGAAATTTCAAGCTTTTTACAGATACTTCATTAAAGAAAAGGTACAAATGTAGCTTTAATGTGATGCCAAAAATAATATTGGGAGAAAACACTCAATCACAATATTTATATTATTTGATTTAGAACCAGTGAAAGAAAATACAAATTCAGCAATTTGAATCCAACTAACAACCTTTACTTTGGCAACATTCCCACTGCCAATGCCCCTCTGAGCAGCTTTATAATGATCTATGCATCAATGTGATTTATTATGATGTCGTACCCCCAACAACTCTTGCTCCTGTGCTGTCAACACGCTGTTCTCTGCCCTGACAGCACTGACAGCTGCTGGGTTGATGCTGAACAGGCGTAAGATGTTCCTGGTAGAGTGGGCCAGCTGCTGCTGTATCACCTGTAGCTTGCGGGTCTGCTGTTCACTGAACATGCTGTTCATGTCGCTGTGATCTCCTGCTGTCCTAGAGGTGGTGGCACTGCCTTTTCTGCTGCCTGGGGGAACAGCAACAAGATGTATTAGTAACTTGATTTGAATATCTGTGTAAAGGGTTCTATTAGAGTAAGATGGCAACTGAAAATTAATGTAAGTTTGAGGGGATGTATTTCGCAGGACTTTTAAAGTTAACTGCAAATTTTTCAATAGAGAAGTCACTGCACCAAATATTTAATGAGTTTAAATATATAATTAATACCAAGGCCAAGGGCCCAAGTAATTTAGTAAGTAAGGGGCAATAGTCAAGTGAATCATGTTTAGATTTCGTTTCAAAGGACAATGCTGTACTTCAAAAAAGACTAACAAAACATCAAATGTTCATGATGTTGAAAGGGAAAACATGATCTCTTACATGAAGTTACATCTGTACAGTCAAGACATATACTACTATGATGACACAAAGTTTCAAAGTCAAGGTTTTTACCTGCAGATCCCGTTCTGGAACTCCCGGCCGAAGACCCCCTGTCTCCCGTCGATTCCTTCGGCATCAGGAGCCCGTTGAAGGTCCTCTGCAGCTCGCAGTGGTGCTCTATCTCCCTCTTCAGTTCTACCCCCAGAACCACGCTAAATCTGTCCATGTTCTTGTTGACGTGAGGCAACAGAGCCAAAAGTTCTCCCCTCTTGATGGCGTCCTCCAAAACCGCCACTATACGCTGGGACTCCACCGCCGTTAGCTTCTTCCTTGCCGGGTCCAAGACTCTCAAGGCGTCCGGCTGGTTTCTCTTACTCGTGCCGCCCAGGGAGGCCATGATCGGAGTCCTGCTGTGGGTCGGTTTAGAAGCTGGAGCTAAAACGTCCGCCATGTTTTCTGTGTAATCTCGACGTTTCCAAACAACCAAAAACAAACTCTTGCCGTCGTCAATCCTTTCTAAACAATCCTAAAATGTGTACTCTAACTTCTCCTTGCAATCTGTATGAAGAAGATCCTTCCAAGAGTCCTGTCAAAGAGATAAAAGACTCACGACGTCCAACTTTTCCGAGCACACATCCACTTCTTCGTAGTTCTGCAGGCTTGATTGTTGTTTCACGTTGTTTGGCTCGACTACTGCGCTTGTATAAAGTAGTACCATAAATAAAAACCACTACTTTATAATTTTCGTTCAATAAATAATCTAATTTTACATGGGATAAAGTACGAATGTCTTATCAAGTTACTTTGGCCATCCGATTAAAGGCAAAATGCCAAATTCTTGATCTTTCAGCGCAATGATACTAATTCTCTGAAAGGGATCAGGCTCTTGTGAGTCCGTCGTTGCCATGGCAAAATAGGTCACTGACCTCTTCCTCACACATCTCGCGAGATTTTATCGTAGGCGAGATTTAGCGAGACCATAATATCAAAACGTCAGCACGACCTTGTCAGGCGCTCAACAGTTGTGTGATTCAGTGCATAAAACTTAACGAATTACATCGTCAATTTCTCTGTCCTGGACTTTGTCTATGTACTTACAAGATGGTTTGAACCTTGAGGTTTGACAGATGCTGTCATAGCATCCATAATTGAAGATAACGTGCATGGATGACCACTAAAAGTGCAATCCAGCGGTTGTAAGCATTACGTTACAAGACTTAGGTAAGATGTCTGCCGACGAAGACTTGGATCTGCCCTTTTACGACGATTATTTTGGACCGAACAAACCTCTCGCCCTGAGTGACATTGATACAGCCTCCATCAACAGTATAGGTAAGCTAGGATAGGTTATCATCTAGGCTTTGTAAACGTTGTACTACTGTAACATTTGATATCTTTTCCAACACCATATAATTTGCTGTTCTTGTATTGAATTACGTAATTTGAGCTTCTACGAATTGGTTCGCCATCTTCTAAGTTTACGCCGTCAACATTACTTCCTACATGTATTCATATATCTATAAAAGCGCAATATTTCACTACTTACAATCAATCAATCAATCAATCAATCAATCAATCAATAACAGAATATCAGCGAAAACTGCAAATTATAAACCACCAAAATGTTCACATTTTCACAGCCTTGAAACACTGATAAGGTTTTTATCTCACAAGTGTCAGTTACTTCCTGTTCCTGTGGTTAACCGTATCTGTCACAACAACATGTGTGTTGTACTGTAAGGTTTGAAATTGTCACAAACTGTTTTTAAGTTGGCAAGCTATAAATATGTAGATGTCTTTTGACATAGAAGTACCACCAAATTTTGTTAACCATAAGTTAAATACAGTCTAAAACTTTCGATTTTAATTGCAATGTGCCGCAGTATAATTAGATGGGTTTACGGTATGAAATGATCCCTGTGTTTTTTTCCAGATTCAGCCGGATCTGAGAGTGACCTGATCAGACAGCGCAGTGTTCGGAGCAGAGTGGACCACGCACGGCGACTCTGGAAGTTCAACTACCAGGAAGCATCTATATATCTACAGGTATAACGTTACACATGCACATGGAATTATGAGTTAAGTCTAAGATACTAAACGGAATGCAATATTTAAACAGACATAATCTACATTAAAGCTGATCAGAATAATTGATGGGGCTTTTGAATATTTTTGGGGCATGTCTGTGGGTTTATGTTTTGGAATGATCATAAAGAGTGACTTTATAGGAACATGTACTGTTTTTTCTGTGTTTCCATTTCGAAATTTGATAATCTGTATCATTTACAAAGTGCACAAATGTCCTACATATTCATCTAGCGTTAAGTGCCTTCTGTACAAGGTAATTGCAGATTTGGTTGCCTGGTACCATCATGATGATCATTTGCTTTCTCTCTGTTTGCCTGCTTACAGGAAGGAGGAAACAATGACAAGTTTGACACCCACCCCCACAGTCACAAGGCCCTGCCTGCCTACCTACTGGTGCATCAGACATGGTTCTATGTCATGGACCTGGCTGTCTCCCTGCTTCTGCTTGGTCTAGCATTGTTTGAGCCCCCGGCTTTTTACTCAATCGACATTGCAGTAAGTATTCACTCAGTTCAGATGAACGAAGTTGGTTACCCCCGCTTTAATTTGTACAAAAATTAAAATGTATGGACTTGCATGCATACCTTACTACAGGTAACATAATAGAGTAGAATAGAGTAGATTCCTTTGGCCAGGTAGGATCATGAGTTCCAGTTTAGGCTGCTCTTTCCTTTCATGATCAGTGCACTGACATCTCAGGCTTCTGAGGATAATAATAATAATAACATGGAATTTTATGTATACATACTTATGATCAGCTTCATGGATGTTTAGTTCAGAAGTTCAGAAGTGTTGATAAAATCTTGAATTTTGTGTAATGGTTTTATTTCAGATTCATGGATCTCTGGAACTATTTGCACTGGTGCTGCTGGGTGTGGAGCTTGGTCTGAAGATGCGATGGTTGGGTCCCAAGGCTTTTGCCACTCACAAGAGAACCATGATAAAGGTGAGGGTGTAGTCTTGATATTGGGAGTTTCTTGTACACAACTGGAGATTCCCTTACCTTGCTTTATAATGTTTTAAAATGGCAAAAAGCAGTACTATGAGGAAGGTGTATGATACTTAGACATCAAAACGTAACCAAGGTGAGAGAATATCTGGTTGTGTACAAGAAGATCCCAATATCATATGTTCTACCAACCTGAAGAAGTTATTTTTTGGAAGTGTGTAGTCTGTTCCAGGTAAGGTGTTGATGAGCAAATACGATATTTTGAATAATCATACTCAGTCTGTAACTATGACCGTCACATTGTCTTTTTAACAGACAGTGACACTGGTGGTCATGTTTGCTGAAGCCATCATCGTACTTATACGCCAGAAGAGCCATATACGCGTGACGCGAGCTCTCCGCCCGATATTCCTCATCGACTCACACTACTGCGGAGGGGTGAGGAGGTGAGAACTATTATACATCAGACCATGTCACATGTTTTTACAGTCATGAGCTTGAGATCTTCCAAAAATGCTGACAGACGTATTTCACAGTTTTTCTTTGCTATTAGTTTGCATAACTAATGGAATTCAACATTAAATTTTGAAGTGCCTTATAAGTTTGCATGGCCTAAAGTTACTCATAGTTTAATAATATATGATTGTGTATATCTGTACAGAACCTTGCGGCAGATTCTCCAGTCACTACCACCCATCCTGGACATGCTGGTTCTTCTTCTGTTCTTCATGCTCATCTTTGCTATACTCGGTAAGTTCAAGACTAGTCATTCATTCATTGATCAGTTAATCAATTATTTCACTAGTTCATTAATATTTTGTTGATTATTCATTAATGAAGTGATTGGTCAATTTTTTGATTGGTGATTGGTCAATTTTTTTATTGATGTATTTCTTAACAACATTCTGTTCTCTTAGTCTTAAATTGAATTTTGGATCTGTGCCTTGAGTATGAATATATGTATTAGTGTGCATGATCATGACAATGTAGTTTGGATGGTGCTAGTCACATCCTTGAACCTGTCATTGTGTCTCCCTATCTAGGATTCTACTTTTTCTCCCCGAACAAAGATGACCCTGTAAGTAGTTACTTCTGCCACACCTACTATTGCTGCTTTAAACAGATTTCTCTGTTTCTCTGGATCTTAAATATAAATCGTAAAGTTTTTTTTCATATAACACATTTTCATGCATTATACCAAGTATGTACTTTATCAAAGTGCACCTACATATTCATGAGTTACAATTATAATCTATTCCAAATCCTCTTCCCAAAATTGCCTAAAAGTTATGAAAGAAATGGAATCATCACAAAGTTTCTTATATTTAAAATGTGACTGATACATGACACTCAATACCATTACAATATTCGGAACTCTTAATTTACCACCTACAGTATTTCCGTACCTTGGAGGACTCTTTCATCAACCTATTTGTGCTCCTGACAACAGCAAAGTGAGTCATTTCTAACATTACACATCTCTAGCGGTAGTATTGAAGAACTGTTGTTTATAAGCTGCTAGCTTAGGCCACACCAATTTAATTTCTTGGTTAACGGATTCGCCGCTTCATTTTTTTTTTTATTTGCAAATAAAAATAAAAATTTAGAATCAACTGTAAAATGCTCATATTTTGCCCTGAACAGTTTAAAACAGTCCTTTTCATCCTAGTTGTTACAGTTATTCCATCTTTCAATACAATGGTATCATTAAAAGTTCAAAATTCATTGTTTAAATTTTGAACAAGCCTGGTGTGTTGACTTCATGGCTCCTATCGTACCATTTTGGGCCATAATAGGATGCCTAGGCCTGTTTTTATTTTTATTTTTTTTTCGCCCGCCCGCTCCATTATTTTTCTAGAAAAATCCGTTAACCAAGAAATTAAATTGGTCTGGCCTTAGTGTACTAGTCAATTACATGTATTGTCATACTCATAGCAAGGTACATATAAGAAGAATTTACAAAATATTGGTACTAGTAACTCTTTTAAAAGACTAATGTGGCTTGTTGATCTAAATATGATAGATAGATCAGTTTTTCAAATACAGCATGAAATGTCACCTTTTAGTTTTTAAATGTAGACTGTGTTAAACTGAACCTGAATAATGCCTTTGCCTGATGTAGCTATCCAGATGTGATGATGCCTGCATACAAACAGTCCCGCTGGTCCAGCATGTTTTTCATCCTCTACCTGTCACTGGTGCTGTACTTCCTCATGAATCTGGTCAGGACATATGTTTCTATTTCTGTACATGTGTTAATATGAATGCTATTTACAAGCAGTATAAATTGCCTACAATTGAAACTAGTCTATGCATATGCCTAATCAGCAGTGCCCGGATTTTGTTGGAATGCTTTAACGTAATGACATTGCTAATTAAACATCTAAAAATCTTACATCTAATTTGCTAGAAATAAAACTAATGATTACTCTCCTAATTCTACTGGGTATGCTGAAGCTGCCACATGTTTGTAAATAACTTGTTTAAATCTGATGTCCTTGTCACTGTGATCTGTTGTAGTTGCTGGCTGTGGTGTACGACACGTTTCTGGGGATAGAGAAGAGTAAGTTCTGTAAGCTGTTTCTACATAAACGAGAGGCTGCAGAGAGGGCCTTCAGGCTACTGGTTAGCCGACGGGTAAGGGCACACTCAGTTTGCAAATAATATCATTAATAAAGGGTTAACATCTATGTTTGCTTGCAGGTGTTATGTCACACAGTGAAAAGAATTATTACCATTATAATCAACTCAAACTGACATTGTGATAAAGTTACTATTAAAACCCTTTATTTGTACATGTGCATTAAGGTATCTGACTGTACATGTATTTCTCTTGATAGAACCCCAGTTTTGTGAGCTGGACTCACTTCCGTGGGTTGATGAACCACTACAGACCAGGGAAGAGTGAACGGGATGTCTACCTGGCCTTCAAGGCTATCAACACTGGTGGGGACGGGAAAATAAGGTGTGAAACAAGCATCTTTCTGTTCCTAAGCCATTCCATGAGAAGTTCATCAGATTGTTACAGTAACTGTGAATTGTGAAATATTTGCAGCAGTTTTATGTTTGTACAGTGGTTTTTACATTTCATGACACAGGGAAATATGTATTTGCAATGATAAATTTCATACCGCTACTTGTACTAAATTTGTTCAATTTGAAATTGTTTCTTTCTTCTTATAATATACAAGAGTCATTACTTTTGTTTTTTCTCATAGCTTGGAGGAATTCTACCGTGTCTATGAAGGAGCTAGGTTCAGCTGGAAGGTATTACTAACTTAAAGTTGTTTGATAAAGTTATTTAGCAATAGAATAAGCCAACACTAAATTAGAAAGACTTTGCATTTTCAAGACAGCTGATTGGATAGATGTGTAGATAATCTTTGTTTAATCTCCTTGATGTGTCTAGATTTGAAGTTTTCTTGGTAATTGTTTTTCTCTTGAATGTGTTTTAGCACGAGGCAGCAGGAGCCTGGTTTGAGGTGTGGAAGCTTCCCACACCACTATTCATTGCTGCCAAAGGTACATTTAGTGTCATTTGTTTTACTTTTCAGTTAGTTTTAAAATTTCTGTGCCATCTTCACTGGTAAGTCTGTGGCTTCAGGTGCATGCATTTCCAAAGTGTTGCTACAGCTACATTTGTATTGTTTCAACTGGAAAAAATTGAAAACTCACTATCAAAATTTATGTGCTGCAAACTCAAGCAAACATGCTGCATGAAGTTAATTAAAAATATCCATTGGAAAGAAAATTGTTGATACTCAAAGTGATGCAAGTAACATCAAATCACCTTCTTATAGTTGAGGTAATTAGTTAGGCAATGGTTGTTTTATGTCAAGAAATATTTGACATATTTTTAAATGATATTTTCTTCATTACCAGGAATCTACAAGCTGGTGACACACAAGTTCTTTGAGTATTTCATTTGTAAGTTTGAAATAATTTTTGTTGATATGACATTCTCTTCCTTTATATTTATTCTTAAAGTGCAGTGTGGTACAATATGAAAAAAAATCATCACAAAGTTAAGAGTAAGCCCTTGAAGTTGAACATTTGCTGTTTCAGTTCTTCATTTTCAAAATAATGGCTATATAAGAATGCATGCAACTTGTATAATTGTTGTAGTACTTGTTGTGTCTTGTGTTATGTAAGAAATGGAATATTGTCTATCTTACAGATCTAGTCATCAGTGTCAATGGGTGCTGGATTCTCGCTGACACCATCATCATATCTAGTAAGCGGATTTAAATATTGGTACTTGTCTTTGGCCTAAAACACAGGGCCAGAGGAGACTCCATGTCTGATACATTAAATGTAAATTTTCAGTAGTTTCAGAATATTGTATCCAAACAATGACTCTGTACTTCTGTTTACAGATGACGACAGCAAATCTCCTGCTGATGTAGAAGTTACCTGGAATGCCATTCTGTTTGTCACAAGTAAGACATTTTTTATAACTTTAACAATTACTTCATTATCGATATCACAGGTTATTTGCTCTTTACAAAGTTGTAATCTCATTAAATTTCCTACATAGCAGTGGATGTGACCTTAACCATTTTGTCTATCTATGTTTTATTTTTCTATTTCTGGTATAGATTGGACGTTAACTATATGCGTAACCTTTTGTTTTCAGTCTATGTCGTGGAGGCTTTACTGAAGATCATTGGTCTAGGAGCTTGGACATACTTTCATTCAGGATGGAATGTGTGAGTAGAAAGATTCACTTAATTGAATATCACCTGCAATTGGTTAGTATACCGTTATGTTCCATTGGTAGCCCTGTCCTTGGTGCTGAATTGCACTTTGAAATTACTACTGCTGCACCTAGTTCTGCCCTTGGTGCTGAAAGTGATTTGTTTTCACAGTTATCCTCAACAGTAGTTGTGAGTTAACACATGTACATGTGTTTACTGTGTAGATCTGTCCTTGGTACTGAAGGATATCTATTTGCCAAATAAGCCTTAAAAGACAACCTCACAAAGATTACACTGTCTTTTGGCCACATTTGCATCATTGAGATTTTGAAATTCATATTGTCAAACTTACAATTTGTAGTTTCCATGACTCAGATGTTTACATGACATGCACAGTTTTCTTTAGGTTCTTCTGTTTACCTTGTGTTTTGCCTTGACTCAGGTTTGACTTCCTGGTCACAGTAGCAGGAATTGTGGGAACATTGGGTCAGAACTTTGACACCGGAGGTGACCTGGACCTGACCTTTCACTACATCCTGGTTCTTAGACCGCTCCGACTGCTCAGGTAAGGCCAGCAAAATGCTTGTATCAAAAAATATGAATTTGAAAGTGTTTCACATTTATATCACCGTCTACATATAGACTTTAGAACATGTTACTCTTATCCTTTGTTATCTGTGTTGTTGATTTGTGATGATTCAAAAACCAACACCTATTTTATATTTTTCAGGTTGTTCAAGGTTAAGAAAAGGTACAGAGATGTCCTGGGGACATTCTTCGCTCTCCTTCCCAGGATGGTCAGGTACATGAAGTCCAAATTTGTCCATTCTTGTTCCCAGGATGACCAATAATATAGATATGGTATGTTAGAGATATTTGACACTTTAACACTACAGCTTGGTTATATGTTACAAATATTTGTAATATTGAGAAACTGGTAAACATGGAATAGGCATATTATTAAGTGTACATGTAATTGAGTCAGCCTGTGTAACTATATGTTTATTTTAACAGCATAATGTAACAGTTCTAACAAAAATGTTCCTCCTTTCTCTCCAGTGTTGCAGTTGCCCTTCTGATCTTTTACTTCTTCTTCTCCATCATCGGGATGGAGGCCTTTAATGGCCTGCCTCTGGCAAACTGCTGCAAGTGAGTATTTTGTACTTTCTCAACAGGTTTTGTCTATTTTTCCTTAGTTGAAATGTTAGTACCTAGATTGTCTTGAAGTGTTTACTATCAAATGTGCCTGCCACAGATTTTGTGTATACTGGTTAACTAGAAACAGATATATTTGTTGCCAACTTGGCATCACATGTAAACACTGGATTTATGCATGCATTTTTGTCAACCCTTGGCACTTAGGTTTTGTTCACTGCATGGGAATTGGTGAAACATGATTTCTTTGTTTTAACTTTAATGATATAACTTTAATGATATAAAATGTATGTCAAACAGTTAGTCAGCCTGATTATATCAATATAGTATCAAGATTCACAGAATATTCTATAATATTATGGACGGGTGTATTCTTGAATAGGGAATGCAAATTATGGCTTATGACTTTATCATTGTCAAAATCTAAGTTTTGCTCACCTTCTTGCAGTGGCACAAGTCTAGCAGACTACTACAGAAATGACTCCAATAGTCCACAGTTTTATCTCAACAACTTTGATGACATCCTTCGGAGTGGAGGTGAGTACATTGTTAATTATTGTGGAATCTTGGTAAAAGAAAACTACATCTATGATTACTGTAGTCAGTAGTCTATAGATCTGATGTGTAGACAGTGGTGGCTTGTAGGCCTAGTACCAGAGGAGTGGTATCTATGGCAACCCAGATGCCCACCAATAGGAAAGCAGAGCCTGCCCCATGCCTGGTGGACAGGTTGCCTTATTAGGTCATGACATCCTGGTCCACCTCCGTTGGGGCAGCACAGTTTTAGATTTGTGAAGCAACTTCTGGCATTTATGTAGAAAAGGGAGATTCAGATTTTAAACCTCTGCATGTTAAAAGTACCTAATAACACATTTTTTTAAAAGAGTAAAACTTGTCAATAGTGATGCATACCGGTTCACTGGACTTGGATCCGGACTTGTAAGAATGTTTAGGTTCAATTCCAAAAAAACCTAAAAGTCAAGAACCGAGTCCGGACTTATTACCATAAAAGACCATTTCACATACCCCTTTTCTTTTCAAACCACCTAAAACCTTCCGTAGATTGTAACATCTTTGCCACAAAATGAAGAAAACATTGCCATCGGGCATCGTCAAGTACCGGCCTCCATATTATGTTGCCAAAGTTTCACCCAGACAACATTGCAAGGTTGCCAACATGCAATTTTGTATATGCCATGGGTTTAGGTCCGGACTTACAAGTCCGGAACTGAACCTAAACCTCTGGACTTGAATCCGGACCTGAACCTAAAATTGGGTTTAGGTATGCATCACTACTTGTCAAATACATTGTATTGATGAAAAAAACAATGTATTTTTTGTTGTCTTGATAGTGACACTCTTTGAGCTGACTGTGGTGAACAACTGGTACATCATAATGGTAAGGCTAAGGGGTATATTTCACAAATACCTATTTTATTTAGTGAATTTCCTTTGTTTGAAATTGACTAAGAAAAAGACAAGAATTCTGTGGATTACCATCTTACAAAAGAGTTTTTTTTTTTATTTTCCAGAATGGCCATGTTGCAGTGACAACCAAGTGGACCTATCTGTACTTCATGTTGTTCTACATTGTTACGATGGTGAGGTTTAATAGATGTTCCCAGCATTAAATACGAGATACTGCCAATGAGCATTTATGATCATACAGTTATGCTAATACAATTCATACTTTCTGTTCATCCTAGCCTGGAATACATGTAATGTAAATGCCTAACATACATGTACATTTTGCCCCATTCAATTCATGGACCTACAGTATTTTTGTACTTGATGCTGGCTGCTGCCTGTTCTCCTGCAGGTTGTGTTGACCATCATCGTAGCCTTTATCCTGGAAGCCTTCCTCTTCAGGATCCAGTGGGAGAGGAAGATGGACGAGAGCATTGATGGTAAATAAGGAATATTTGGGGGGAGCTTAGATGCCATGATTACTGTGAAATGTCGGCACCAATATCAAACATACAAATGTAGAGCATTAGGATTTGCATTGTACTCCTCCTTCACAATGTTAATGGCAACCCTCTTTTATCTTTATAACTTACAAGGTGTTTTATCAGGGAACTCAAGCAGTTTGTTGATGGGAATGGAAAAAAACAAAAAGTGCTTGGATTTAATACAGGAAATTCATTTCCAGACTTTGTAGGCAAGTTCTAGCACTATAAATATTCTACTAGCAGGCAACGGAATATAGATTTTGATACAATACCACTCGTAGCAGCTTAGAACAAATCATAGAAATAGATAGTGCAAAAAATGTGTTTTTTGTAGACATATTTTCCTCTTCTCTGACTGTTGTGAAATTTTCTTCCTTTAAACAGATGACAGAATTGAGGTTTCCGTCAGTATCAGCCGTGATGAGTTTGAGATCCACTTCCCACAACCCTGGATACAACAAGACACCATCACACTAGCAGACAGCCTGCAGACAACGGTCAGTTTTTTATATCATCTTACTATTGTTTACGTCACTGTGTGTTGTTTGTTGTGCCACTATCATATTTGATCTTTAATAGTTTCACTTTTCACTGGCTGTGCTATATGTTTTTCTTGATGAATGTCAATTTTTCCCTCTGTGTTACAGGATACTGTGCAGTTCCGAGGTGTCCGTATGAGAACCAGAGACGACCTGAGCACACAGATGTACAGAGATGAAGTAAAGGTCTGTACTATCTGTATGAAGTTATCAAGATTCAGTAGACTTCTGTTTAAAACCACTCCCATCATTTTATAACATTTTGCACTTTTTTTATGTCAACTGAGTGAACATTTTGCAAAAAACTAGTTTTGGAAAGTTGTAAAGGCAATATTCATATCTAATGATATTGTATGTACATTGTAATAACAGTGATTGAACACCAAAAATCTTTTTTTTTTAACCAGGTGCTACATTAACTGATACAATTATATTCAAGTTTGATTACCTGAGATAAATATGTTTTTTTGATGGTGTGATATTCTCTTGTAGGATTGGCTACGAGAAGAGGCAGAACGACAAGAGATGGAACTTAGGAGAAGTGACCTGGAGGCTGAGTCAGAAAACATCTGCAGGGAAGACAGATCCAACACTGTTTAAGTGGGCTCGCTGGATCAAGTAATATACATTATACATGTATCTATATGGGATTTTAAGTCTATTTTTGGTCTCTACTCCCCAACCCCTGGTGTATATTACTGAAGGTTGCACTTTGAATGTATGGCCAAGATGATCAAATATTACCAAAGAAGATATTTTCCAAAGCTTAGACAGTAACATAAGAACACTCACTATCCTGCAGACCAATTAGGATGTGCTTTTGTCTGAAAAAAATGCTCAATTACAATTCTTCAAAGTCAGTGATGTGTTACTGTGTTTTGTATTTGTAACAAAATTATTTGAACTTGCAAAGGTGCTACTTTAGTACATGTTCAGTTTAAAGTTGCATAAAATGGTGGAAATTTATCAGAATAAATTGTACAAAAATAACTTATATTTATACATATTATGTAATCTTATCTTCCAATATTTTATCTTGCATTGATTTATACTCATAATTTAAAAAATAAAACATAATATAATTGCTTAAATCTATCTTTTACAGTTTGTTTTGAGAGCTTGTTGCTGATATTTTGAAGTGTATGATATATGTTTTAAGTTTGAGTTGCCTGACAATGTAACTCAAATTATGAACACTACATGTATAACATTACATACTTTTAATGCAGTGGTGCAGAATGAAGAAGTTAGTGAATGGTGGGATTTTGGCAGCAGTTTTATGTTTGCAGTTTATGTTTTCACCACAATCATGTGCTCTGTACTGCAGTATTATTACAACCACTGCTTTAAGTTTGATTACCACAAACAACTTTTACATCCAAGTCCTCACTAACTTAAAATGATCTGTATCTGTACTTCTATACAAAGGACCAAAGTATACAAGATAGATTGTAGATGTACTAGTATTTAATTGTCATCAGTACAGCAACTATACAAAGAGACAGCATGTAACGTTATGTATTTTGAATTAAATGCTCTTTGAGTCTTGGTGCTAGAACTGCACAGTCTATTGTGAATCAGTGCCTATGATATAACTACATGCTTTGCATTTGTCAGAAAAAATCTATGTATTATCTAAAAAGACAATAGAAGCATCTATATTAAACAAAAATGGAGTCACGTGTGTCCTACTTTTGTCCTACTACATAGTCTAGGACTGCTGCAAAGGGTATTCACCATGCATGAGATACATTTAGGTATTACTGAGTCATACCATATATTTTGAAAAAGTACATACTGCACATTTATCGGGAAAAGTAAAACTCGTAAAGTTGAATATTAGCCAATAGCTTCTCAAGCTTGCATAAGTTATGTGACCCAAAATACAGAAACAAAATTAGTACTGCCCTATACACCACATGGTGTGGAAAGGTCATTCTTCATTCACATAAGTGTAGATGGTCACAAAGTTTTGTTCATAACAATTGGGACCCTATAGCATTCTTTTTTTCCACAACTTTTTCCAAAATAAAAGTAATGCAATGCAAAACATGAATTTTCAATATCCATAGCATGAAAAAAATAAAGACCGCACTGTGTGCATATTAATATTGCTCGACACAACTACAGAAAAGATAATTAACCGGGTATCTTAATATGTAAATATTGATAATGTTGCATAAGAACAAATGTGGAAATACTTTATGCTAGTCTTGAGTTTTGTCATATGGGACATTACATGCCTCCAACATAAGAATAGGAAATCAACATAAATCCTGAAAAGGGAATCCTTTCCTCACATTATTTCTTTTTGGTGGCATATGAATTGTGTCTGCTTCAGCTCAGATGACTACATGTCGTTCTGAGGAGGAAGGCTGCCATTATTTCTGCTGCTTCTGCCACTGTTCTGGAGTTAAGGTTTTCTGGGAGAAGGCGTGGATGTCTTTCAGCTCCTCCTCCAGGCAGGCATTCACCAGTCTGTAGTGTACAATGCATGTGCCAGTGTAAGATTAGAATGGACTGTCTCCTATTATTGTATTGTACCAAATAGTATCTTTGACTGTAAATTTAGCCATCAGGCATGATTAAATGCAAATAAAGATTATTTATAAAAATCAGCAACAGTAATACAATAAAAATTACACAACTGTACTGGCCTCATCATCGTGATATAGGCTACATAGGTACTTACAATTTACCAGTTCTGAGATATTTGAACACAGAATCACTGTATACAAAGGTGGCATTGATTTGTTTGAAGGAAAATTTCTTTAATCTAGTCTTACTCAGTTAATCTAACAAATATCTGATCAAGCATAATACCAAGTGACATGTACAAACCTGTGCCTCTGCAGCAGAGGCTTGCCTTCGAACTTGGCTGACACAATGGTGACATTAAACGCTGAACCACAGTGGTTGGGGGATGTGTCTTCAACATCCTGCAAAGAAAAAACAACAAGTACCAAGATGAAAAACCACCATAAAATTTTACCATTGAAATAACTAGAGAAATACATAGAGAAGAGAAAGAACTAGCCTACTTTCTTCAAAGTTATAGCCATTTATTTAGCAGTGTCAAATCACTATTTCCTTTTAATCCCATTTTTAAACAAAGTCTTGGCCTAGCTTTTGGGGAGGGGGGCTGCATGCATACGCATATTTTACGCATATGGCTGCGAATGAACAGAAAATGCGAGATATGTGAGCCATACTTACGATGTGAGTTGCCTCCAGTTCACGTTGGAGCTTCTCCTTGATGTATTCTGCCGTTATGGACATCCTTCCTTCACGTTACTTCACTTTTATTCGCCAAAATAACAAAATATTCTTGAAGTGTCGTTCAGATCGCTGGAGCAGGCTACTGTAACCTTTGACCCTGTTCTTATACCTGATGACTCTACTGCGTGTAGCAACTGTCAGCCGGCACAATAAAGTCGATACCGATGAGAGCCGACGAAAAGCGTAACTTTCGGACTTTTAGGAGATGATTCATTTTCATGCCGTGGCTTTGTGGCAATTCGTGCTTGCTTGTGTAATATTTTCAAATAAAATATCATTGTGTGCCGATGAGTGCCATAATGATTTGTGGACAGCATATCGTCATTGTAGCTGGATCATGAGATAATGGCAGCTTTAGGACTTGTAGGAGATATATTTCAGTGAAAAAGATAACACTTTTCATGCCCTTTGACGCAATTCGTGCTTGCTCGTGAAAGATTTCACTGTGCACAGAATGTCCATTTTTTATTGTGAACAGCATACTGGATCATGGGAAGCTGTGGGTGGAAATATGGCAGGACAAGTGTCAGAAAAACGAAGGAAAAGTTCCCTAGTGACTTTGGTATTGTCTCAAAACGTATTTCGTCTAAGGTTTATATAGACCCACCCTTAATTAATCACATCAAAAGCGTTAATTTCAAATCAACTAATGACATACATCGTCCTATTACGGACTGCATACGATTAGCCATGGGGTCTCCGAGGACGGTGAATTGGCCAATTTTAACGCATTTAATTAACTTAACAAGTGGGACTTCCGTCATTATGTTGGAGCAACAACAAATAGATACAAAGACAGAGATCCTGTCATGCTATGATCAATTACGATGTAAATCTTACTTGTCCTTAAAATACAAACCATGCTGCTTTTTCGATCATTATTGTTCCCGGTCATAGTTCACCTTTTGACTGACAGAAAACTATAAGGTTACCTGTGCAGTCCCAAATGTTGCCAGGTGGGTTTCACGCTCTGTTGCCCGGCCGAACAAAACAGCCCCCAACCGACCGTACAAAACAAGAGGATCGCGTTCGCGACACAATGCACAGGCGCGCCTAGCACCGCAGTATTACCTTACAAGTTTACCCCAAGCTTCCCTCGCCCGTGTCCTGTATACAGTAACTAGTGCACAACAGTGCTGAGACCTAAAGAGAGGGGACAACACTTTTGTTGTGATTCTGTGTGCAACAACCCGTTTCAGAAAGGTCAGAATTCTTTCAATAAGGTCGGGCCGTTAAGAGACCAACAGGGGCGATGTCACAACACTCGAGACCTATCGACATGGAGCCGACGGTACAGTACTTCATCACTGTGAAGTATGGAGGTGAGAAACAGCATTACTGTAGACACTATAGTATCTAGGGACGACTGCTAATCAAGTTTAAGTGATAACCATAACAGTGATATGGTTCAGAAAGTACAGGTTGACTAGATCTGATATAGCCTTGTGGTAAATGTTTGGGGGTCTACAAAGTGTAATAGTACTTCGAAGCATGTAATATATCTATCTAAAGGGGAAACGTCTGTGAACAACTACACCACCATACAGGTGAATACGATCTAACAATGGAAAGATTAGTTGTCCAGGAGTTTATCCATGTTACACACAGCGCTAGCAACACTGTGTAAAAGTGCCTATAACAGCTGGTTATTATGTCTTTTATATGATCTCTTATCGCGGTCAGAACAATGCAACCCGTGCAGCTTCGAACAGAACAATGTCGCCTGGAGAAATTCATACCTGCTTTCTGTTCAAGAGTGTTGTAGTTGAAAAAAGGATTTCCAACATCCCAGACAAAAACACCCGTGTGTTTGCTACATTTATGATCCAACCTGTTACATACCAGTAGATCAGGCATTTACTACATACTGTACGTCAATAGTTTACTACCTGTTTATTTACATAAGGCGTGTGTACACACACCATAAAGTCTTAGATAGTAGTTAGGTCGGTTTGCCGTTGTTTGCTTTCTCTAGATTCGTGAAAGAAAGTAGCTTTTATTTTGCATCATATCTTTAGCCTATAACAAGACAGTTAAAGCTTCTGTGGTATCTAGAAACGAGGGTAACCATAGTCTGCGGTTGGTCTAAAAGTATGTGTAAATAGTAGTTTACTAGCAGTAGAACATAATCCTTGTCTACCACTATCTAGACAATACTATCCTTGATTCACAACTTTGCGGGGTCATGTCCTATTATATCTACATATTGGGCTTGCTAGAACAGTCCAGTAATTATATTTAAGCGTGGCTGTCACCTGTCCGTGTCTCTATTTCCAGTTGTTGTGTAAACAACCCTTCCTTGCGCAGATACCGACGCGTGTGTCGTTCAAAATGTCTGTGTTCCATAGAGCAGAACAAGACAACCTCAAACCAAAAACATTGTGTTTATTAGACTGCTAGGAGCCTCAAATATTGATCCCAGCATTTTCCAGTCTCTTTCATATATATTCAAGGATATGGTTAGGTACAAGCATTAGGGACGATATCTTTTCTTAAACCCTAAGGCTAAACAAGACCATTCTTGAAAAGAAACATCTGACCTTGACGTTTAAGTATACTTTACTGCATAGGTCTTGGACTACAGATATCTTTTGTAGTGTAGAGAACGTTCAATTATGAACCCCTTGTGCGTATACCATTATTTTGAATACCGGAAATCCGGATAAAAAGTGCGCCGACGACCATTTTCGAAAGCTCTTCAGGATTTTACCAGAGACCAGATGGTTAAGTGCACTTACTTGAGATCCTAATTGTACATGTTGTGTGGGTGGTGTTGTTATGGAAAATGGGGCAAGTGCCTTGTACAGGGCATCTGTACATCTTGTACATCTGACACTAGGTTTATTAACATTATTTTGGAGGTACTATTCTTACCCTCTCCAAGACGGTTATGTTTGTGGCAGCGTCTATCGTTTGTAACAGTGCTTGGTTATGGTTTAGCAGGATATAATAACTTAAGAGGCTATGAATAGATTGTTGTAGAATATATTTTGTTTGGTCTTGATAAATAAATAAAGCATTTGAGAACTACTTATATGTACTTAAGAAAGATAAGACAGACTTATGGGAACTAAAGGATCAGTAGAGAATACCTGGAATTATCCAAATTATTCCTTGCAAATGCCAAGGATTACTTCTGAAAGAGCTGCAGTACACTACTTTTACTTTTTGTATTGTACCTTTAGAGACAATTTACCAGGTGTCCAAGCCAAAGATTAAAGCCGGTTGACGTCCTAGTCAAAGATGATGAATTACAGCCGGTGAACCAACAACTAAGTAACAATAAGTATCAGAAAGCAGGAATTGAAATGTTTTTCAAATAGTTCATTAATTTGTAGCGCCGCAAATGTCATTCTATGCAAACGTTGTTCAGTGCTGACAGATATATGTATATAGGTGATTGTTTTCTTCGTCTCTTGGCGACAAAATTACAGTAGAGTAGAACATAAAAGAGCCACTTGCTATGCTGGTATTCTCCAGGGGCTGTCTCTTAGAAATCTAGTCTAATGATACATAATTAGAGGTCCTGGAAGGTATATGTAATTAATCCTTTCTTATGGCTGTCACCCTCATTCAGAGAAACAGCCATGTATGCAATGCGCAGTTAATGACATGTCCGTATTTTACAGACAACCAGACGGAAATTTTCAACCCCCACTGCAAGAGCCAACTGTTACTGAAGTGCATCAAGCAGAAGTGCAGGTGCGAACTACTGGACCACGATGGTAAGATCAGAACGCACCACGTACTTAATCTCTCAGATCGTTTTTCTGACGGCCTGGCTTCTATGAGCCTCTCAGCCCAAAGCGGGATCACAAAGCGGGATCACAAAGCGGGATCACAAAGAGAAGCCCAACCATCACAAAAAATTACGAGCTTCCCCTTGACATCTGCTTGGAGATTAAACTTGATGGGTTTCTATATATATACAGCTATGTAACCAATTTTTGTCCAACTAGAAGCTATAGTTAAAAGCAATTCTACACCCGTAAAAATGTAGCCTCCAGCGAGGCGCCTCTGACGACTTTACTGTCTGCAGTTTTCGGTCAAAAAACTGAGACAGGATCACGCGTCCATAAAACTTCCTCTCACTCACTATCAACGCTTACCACGTGTAAACTACAGGTCCTAAAAGTAATAAACGTATAAAAACACGACTAGCATGAAAATTTGTCCCTAATCTGCCACGTTCATCGAATATAGACTACGTATATGGACTACGTAATAGCGTAGTTAGTTACACACATGAAGAAATGAAATGAACATTTGAACAACATCCGCCACAGGTTGTTATGGATCCCCCCAGCCCTAAGGGCTTAAGGATCAGACGCCTCTGTAATCATAGCTTCACCCGAACTCAGTCTTCCAGACGGCGTCGGAACAAAGAGCGCGCTCTACCGTGTAATTTAGGCTCAGTAATGAGACGGTGTCACTGTTACACTACATGTAGCTTTACAACATTCTGTCAGCCTGGAGTCCAGACATTTTAGCTTTGGTCCGCCCCCTTGTTGGTGGGGTAGCGAATCTTGGGGAGCGGGGCAAAGCTATCAAGGCTGGACTTCAGGCTAACATTCTGTACATTGTCTTTATTTCTTAAGGGAGAAACTTCAGTCTAGAGCCCTGAATCATCTAAAAGAATACTGTAGTACTAGTGGTAGCAACGTTTCTTGGTGACAATGCTTGACGAAAATGCTTATGAATATACAGTTCGGATTCTTTCCAATTTCCTGTCGCAAATTTCATAGATCGTGCTTTTCGTCTTCTATCTTAATTGTGCTGTATAAGAAAAAAACATGCACTGCTCATCGAGTTATTCTCCCATTTCCAGCGGTCATTGACCTAGCGGACGATCAGGGGAACGTGAAAAACTTGTCCGAGAGTCAAACCATTTCCACCTACGCTAACGACGTCCTGGAGCCGAGAGGTGTCTACTTCCTCATCAAAGTCATAAGTAAGTTCAACTGCCTTGCAAAGCATTCCTGAAATTTACAAGAGATGCATGTGGTGTTATTCGAAGATTAAGATCATTCCATCTTACCATATAATACTGTGTACTAGTACACATACAGCTAATCTGCCTTTCTCCTTTTCTGACCTCAGAAAGTGAAGTTGAGAACGAACCCACACGATATGAACCCATCATCAGCAACACAGAGAAAAACTGCCCGGGTTTGTCAGGTAGGACATCTTGGTTTTAATAGCAGCTTATCACCATCTGTACTACTAGAAGATTCCGCTTGGTGACGCTGCTGATGCGTCCAACGATCTCGGATTTGTCTCGCACTGCGATTTTAGCCATCGATTTAATGGTACACGTTGTTTATGAGTCTCTAAGTCCAGAAATGTTTGCCATACAATATGACCACCAGAAAAACTACAAGGTGTAAAACGCTTTGAAATATAAAAATGAAAAAAATTACAGTTATTGTATAATTTTGGCATTTTTCCAATTAGTCATTCACCAATAAAGTAGCCGTGTATAGGATCTCGAAGAAACAAACACTGAGGTATATATCCGTACTATTGTTAACGTCAGATATGACATATTAGAAAATATTAAAAAACAACAAAAGATATTATCTATTAATGTCTGAACAAATCATCATTATCTCTTTTCATGTACTATGTTATTTTTCTTTTCAGATCGTTTGAATCGCTCCACTAAGTCCCAGGCTGGCAATAGGAAAGGCTGGGCGAACCTGAAGAAAAGACTCCCAGCATCCTCTGCGCTGTCCGCCATTTCCAAGGCCACTACAAAATCGGGAAAGAAAAATTCAGTATCAAAATGACATATATATCTCTCTCCATACTAGATTAGTTATCATAGGTTTTGCATAAAATATCATCACTGCGTACCCATAGTTTTCTAGTTCGAGGCAAGATATGAATATATGTATATAAGCACAATATTTGAAAATAACTCATTGCTGTTTTTATGATGGTTTGGAATTTATATCTTTATATTATATAAGTCTTTTCATCTTTCCTGTCTTGACTGTAATAGACAGTCTATAAATGTATTTTTACTGCTTCATCGTAAAAACTAGCTTCTTCGGAACAATTTACAGCTATAAAAAGTGTTGGTATTATACTCATGGGAAACACAAAACCAGAACAAGGACCAAAGTACACTACCATGTTATGAAATTAATGTGTCAAATTGGCCCAAAATAAACGCACGTATATATTTTGGTAAAAGTAATTCCCAGGGGGAAAAGAAGAAGTACTTGACTAAGTTATTTGTCGGCGATAAATCTAATCTTGGGTTCTTATTTGTCCTTCGTGTACAATTATTGTGCATGGCGCCTGTCCCTAATGTAGACCCACAAACTGCGAACGGTTCGTCTTGCAATTGGCTTGTCGTTTATGAGGCAAGAGAGACAAGTCCGTCATTTTAATGTATCCATACCTTACCAGTTATTGAACCTTGCTTTATTACATAGTCGCTGTACCACTGTGTGTTCTTTATTGTATCCATTCTATAATCAACTAGAATGAAAACATGGCCAACAGGCCAACAGGCCAACAGGTAGGAATATGATAGTCTCCACCAGACTCCTTTGCAGGCTGAATAAATAGTAGAAATCGGCCTGAAAGGGGACTTAATTGGCCAGAGAGGGTCAATTTGCTTGCACGTGCACGCACATGGACCCTCTCTGACCGGTCAACTCCTCTAGCTAATTAAATCCCCAAAGGAGTCTGGTGGAGACTAGGAATATACCCTTCTTGGCGGAGGTAATATATATTGTATTGAGAAGTTACAGGGTTACTCATCGTTGCCAGGAAACAATAATTCATATGTTACTTCATGCGGTTCACATACATCTCCCCACGCTTTTAAACACTTACTGTGTTCTGTTGTTGGCCCTCTGTCACCATGTCTACATCTAATCCCTTAATGGACTTGCAAAATGCTGGATCACGTCTTAAGCCTAGTGAAGCGTCGTCAATCTGTATGTTTGAAACTGTATACACTTTTGTTGATAGAAGAGATCGACATTGGCCTTGCTACAACAACTGTATAGCCTATGGAAGGATGAATGGATGTAGGTGTCTGAGAAGCGAAGTTGAAGAAATATGCAGTCTGAACAATGCAGGAATTTCTCTGCATATCTGCACGTGGCAATGCATAAAAACATAAATTCAAGCCTTCGAGAGTTATTCTATTTCCAAGTCTCGAACAAAATGATCCTTGCAGTTCCACAAAAGGTGGCAGTGGGTCCAAAAGTGTACCTAAAACTACTGGTTTATAAATATAACATAGTAAGATCAAGAGATGCATTATACGAAAACTTGAGGTTCTGCTGCAGTACCATAGGAATGTGCTAGAGAGGCCATAATCATACGTACTAGTACCTGCTCACGTACCAAATATAATAAAGATCCGTTCATGACTGCTCGATTTATGCTGTTTTATTCACAAGCAGACAGATAAACACGCAAGACATATTACTAGCCTCTACTACCCTCTTCGCGAAGGATATATAGCTATAGATCTTGTATTGCGAAGTAACAGCGTGTTCAAACATTCCTCCTTATAGCTTTGACAATATTTTATTGCCTGGCATACATACAAATGAGACAAGTTGCCTGTGCTATGTAACAGAACTGTCTTGTAAACAAAATATCAGAAAAGCCTTTATTTGCAAAATTAACAAACAACGTGACTTAAGATAGGAAAAAGAACAAGGAAAGAAACATGGCACAAAAAAACACACCACGAATATTGGAAAATGAATCTGTTTCCTCTGCATTTCATATATAGCAATGCATCATACAAAATCGCTGCTGACGTACACAGTAGTTATCCAACCTTTCAAACTAACGTCTGAACTTCACAAACAAGTGTAATCTATGGTGCTTGTAGCTCAGATAATGTAAACGGTGGTTATACAGCGCGATGTGTCGTGTTATCACTACCATATCTTGTCTCCTCGAGCCAAATCTGCTTTTACAGTCGTCGCGGCCATCATCTCGGTGTTTACAATCGGCCTATCATGGCGCAGCTGTTAAGGGTCGTAAAAGATTACGGTTCCCCTCGCTTCATGCTGCCGATATATCCGGCAAACATCGCACAGCGAGCACTCAGCCGTAATCTTGGCCGACGCACCAGCCTCTGACATAAAGTGGCGCGGCTTACAGTTGCCATTTGTAGTTTGATACATCCTGTATGAATATGCCTGAATCCATATGCGGCAGTATTATGGGCCTTCAGTATAAGGCTCTAGACTGGCGCCGCCGATACATAGGGTTTATGACCAGAGACGCAAATACAGTCACGACAACTAAAAACAACAAAAATAGTCCTTGGGGATAGAGGAAATGAAATCGTCTTGACGGGGAAAACGACATTTTCAAATGCAGGGACGAAAGATTTACGGTGCAATTGCCTTGTAGGCAGTGTGCTCACTTTGCACTTGGTCTTAACTTGGAAGAAGATTGTACGCTCTATTTAGCATCCAAAACTTATGGAAAAGTGTCTAGGGACGTTGAACCTCCTGACTGCTGATGTGTGGCCCAAGGGCTAAGGAAACCGAAATGGCACGACCTACATACGAAGATGTATACTATGTGGAAGGACATTAAGTTAACTTAGGTACGAAAAACGGGAGATAAAATAACATGATTGACACGTAAGGTTTAGACCAACGCTTTAGAACTAAAAGTCACCAAAACTTGTACAGCTTTGAGTCATTAAAAACCTCAAGTTAGTACAGAGGCCGGACGGATTTCAAGTTTTCCTCTCCAAGAATTTTTGTTCCGCCGGCGTTGGTACGGCGTTGCAGGCACTCAATCTTAGACTTAGCAGTACTTGAACGGTGGAAATCTGCAATAACAGGTACTTGAGACATTGAGGCAAAGGGTAAAAAGTAGGGAAGCATTACTTTCCAGTCCCGAAATTACAGTGATCCCCAAGGCACGGCATCTGTTGTCGCTGTGAAACGACTGCCTCATCCTTCTTCCTGGTGATTTGTACAGGCCTCGACGACTTTCCTTGAACTTATACGTCGTGGCGTCGTGAGTGGTACAACGGAGAATGGCATCCTCCAGGCCTTCTAGACTGTCACCACGTCTAGAACTACAGAATGGAATCCGAATACTTTGAAACCTAGAAAAACTTTCACCATTTGACAAACCAAAGTCCACGAAGTTTCAGGAAGAATATTTCAACTGCAAGACTTTGAGCTGCTCATTTTGTCGAAGTACTCTACACGTTCATCCTCTTTGATCCATAGATTCCCTTGCCTCTAGAACTACCCTTTAGGATTGATTGATACCTGTATTTTATAACATTATAGATGAAACTTTGTCTCTCCAGTGCCCTTTGGAAAAGAGTATATTCCTAGCTTATGGCTTACAACAGTACGTTTGGGAGACACGACCGAGTAAGCTTGTCTGATCATGTAGCCTGAAAAAGGCTCATGATTTCAGTTTACTGGGAAAGCATCTTAGATTCTAAAGAGTGCATATATACAGATCAAGGGTACATGGCATTTATACGCACTGCAACAATGCTCACACTGCAACCATGTGCTCACTGGCACTGCAACCATGCGCACACTGCAACAATGCTCACACTGCACACTGCAACCATGTGCACACGGCAACCATGCTCACGCTAGCAACCATGCGCACACTGCAACCATGTGCACACTGCAACCATGCTCACGCTGCAACCATGTGCACACTGCAACCATGTGCACACTGCAACCATGTGCACACTGCAACCATGCGCACACTGTAACCAAGTGCACACTGCTACTCTCCAAGCAGAGGTTTGGGTTTTGGGGGTATTTTTAGCGTGTTTTTAGGCTTTTTTATCGGGGTTTCTCTTTTGCACTGAATTTTTTTCCCACCACTGGTTTGGTGGGAAAAAAAATCAGTGCAAAAGAGAAACCCCGATAAAAAGGCCTAAAAACACGCTAAAAATACCCCCAAAACCCAAACCTCTGCTTGGAGAGTAGCACACTGCAACCATGCTCACACTGCAACCATGCTCACACTGCAACCATGCTCACACTGCAACCATGTGCACACTGCAACCATGCTCACACTGCAACCATGTGCACACTGTAACCATGCGCACACTGCAACCATGTGCACACTGCAACCACGCTCACCGCAAACCGCAACAGGAACATCTCATAGCCTCTGCACCTGTTGGCAACACATCCTCCCACCTTCACGATGACGACCCACGGGGGCAGTTTTCCCAGCGTGCCGCCCCCGCCACCTCTGCTTCCGATGCTATTCCAAGGAACTAATGTCAGAGTTGATCTACCCGAGACCGTTAACACAGCAAGCCAAAACATGTACGCGTGGGCGAGCGCCAGTGGCTGATTGCACGGTCAGTTGCTGTACAAGGACCTCTTTGACTCTCAATCCATTAAACAATGTTGCACTGGTACTCTTGATGGTGAAGCAAAACGCAGAGGCACACACATGCATTGCATTTATGTTACTTGTCTCTGTATGTATGGACGCCAAATCCAGTACATGCTATTTGAGTGACTCAGTGGCCAACGCCCATAGTGAATCATCAAGTCATCGTCATTATCATCATTGACGGGCTGTGTGTCCAGAGAATCAGGGGACCAAGTATTTTTCCAGTCTTGTACCGCTTGTACCGTCACTGTATACCGTTTGGCAAGACGACAAGGGCCCAAGGACTGGGTACAATTGTGTGAGCGACTCTGTTGCCGAGGCTAGTTGAGCTATACTTTTAAAGCAAGGCCATGGAAGCTCCTTGTTTAAAGCAAGGAGCTTCAAGCTTTAAAGGTAGTACAGATTTTCATCTCGTCCCGGTTGTAAATAGTTAAGCTGAAGCTTTGATGGTTTATGGCGTGTGTTTCGTATCCACTGTAATGTGAAGGGCATCGTCTTTGTTCAGTGGAACAGCGCCTCGGGCTGTTGATATTGTGTACGTGCGTCTGCACATACGAAAAAGTTAATGGAAAGACATGATATACTGCCCAAATCACATTAGTTTGGGTAGAATATTTACTGCTTTTCTGATATCTTTCCTCAAATCATTACTCTTACTAAAGCGTTTTCTATACACGCTTACATACTCCGGAAATGGTGGCTTTTACCTGAAAGAAAATGTAAAGGATAGTTTGATGGGACAGCTTAATGGAAGCTGTAGGGATGAAGTGTACTATGGTCGTAGAACTAGCAACATTTATCATGGTGAAGTATCATTGATAAAAGGAAGACAACGTATCATACACTAAGGAAGGGATTTATCATGCTCAGGAAACTCCTTAGACATATGCTTCATAAGAACAGCAATCACGACTCCTACCTAATGGATAGAGAGGAGAGCCCGCATACATTCATGTAGGTTTCTGGTTCAATCCCGACCCGATCAGACCAAACATAATAGAATATTTTTATTAAATATGTAATTGTATTAACAATTACAATTACATTAAATATGTAATTGTACCCTTTTATATATGCATTACGACTTTAATTATGTATTTCATCTTTTAATATGTATTGTCACCTTGATTGTTTATGTCAACCTGTGCAATTTGTATATGTACATGAACTCACAATTTCAGCTAAAGGCTGCGACGAGTTTATATTCGCACAATAAATAAACCATTCATATAATATACTTCTACACTGCTTCTATGCTTATCACTGAACACATACAAAAGACTAGAGAAGTTGAATACCCGCCACTTCTAGTGGGTGAGTACCTTGTTGCATGCACAGCTGTGTGGCCAAAGGGCTATGGATTCAGACATCGGCGCGGCCATATACATTATGTGAAAAGGATTAAGCATATTTCCCTCAGAAATCTTGTATTCATGTGTTTTACCTCATTGACATGAGGATCGTCCATCGCACTCGCTTACCTCTTTACATATACAAGTAAGGACCGTAAGGACGAGAATAGGGTACAGGCTATAGCTACACATCATATGTTCATATTATTCTGTCTTCTGTCCGATTGTACAAATATTCCATTGACTTCATTTCCCATGTACAGGATTTTGCCAACAACATTGAGCGATCTCTCTCTCATCCTGGCCTGGCAGATGATCGTCAGGATTTCCGGGATGGTCGTTTCTGTGTACACGAGAGAAATGCACATCACGACCATAGAGTGCTCTTCCACAACTCTGCCGGAGGATTTACCATATTAGGAAGTGCACTAGATCAACTCTCTCACTCTCAGTCATTTGACCCAGTATCCGGACATATATCACGATGGTACCTCCCGCAGTTTTGCCGGAAATATTGCTTTTTTAAAAGCCATAAGAGTGTTCTTAATGTTAGGCTTAGCACTTCCCGGTTATAGAGTAATGGCCAAGCAGCAAGAGGGATATTTTACTACCGGGCTTCCTCACATCAGTCACTGTCAAAAATGATGGACTTTCCTGCTACCCGTATCTGTCTTCTGCTAACATAACCTCGTGCTTTCTTGAATAGAGAACATTTTTCATTAGATGTTTCGAGCTTTCATGGCGAACGCATGGTGGTCTGAATGTGTTTGAATGACGACGTGTCTGGCTAGCGATGTTTGGTGTAAATTCTATACCAAACCCAACACGCTGTCTCCTTTGTACCTGAGTGAAGTGAGAGCGCAGATAATTAAGGGTATGTACGCCTTGCCACGTACAACCAGCGTGTCGTTGTAAAAGCGCTAAACACATACATAGATATCATAGGGTATTTTTTCTATCTGATAGTTTCACAGGGTAATCCCGGAAAAGAAAAACAATGCGTACTAATTTTTATGTTTACCGAAGGAAAACATATTGTTTTTGCTACATTTCCTCTTCTTCTCCAAACCAAAAAGGCCAATGACCTGAACCAGACTGTCTGTTACCATAGTGACTAGTGTTGGGTTACGTACATCATGTTGCAATTTTACAGCAGGAGGGATTTAAACTCCTGTCTGACCATATGTATGAATGTGTTTGAGTAAGAATTAACAGAGCAGACCATATGCGAAGGTAAACATTATGCATTTGCTATGCAAATGTTACCTTTCTAGTTAATGTTTTAACTAAGTACTTCAACAACAACAAGATAGCCTTATAAAATACGTTTTGACACGACCGCACGACCTTGACCTCGATTTGAAAGGTCGATCACTTATCGCAGGATACGTGATTTTCTAGGGCAGAGATTTGAATATGTTCATGATTTTAACTCAAGCCCCCGCCGAGAGAGATTATAATGACTAAAACATCACCCTAGGCAGCTACTTTACACGCAATCATCTAACAGGCGTGGGCAGAAGTTTGTCATTAAGGCCAGCCTAGTCATAAATTTCACCACAGATAAGACACATTTCCTGTAATCTCTTCATGATGGAGGGTAGGGGTATTATAGTAATCTTGTGATCTGTGATTCTGTTGACATGTGAGGTTACTAATTCAGTTTAAAGGTCACGGTTTGTGTGCCAGTTCGAACTATGTACATGTTGTCAGATGGTTTCGCATATCCCGTAACTAGTCTTTGATCGAACAGAATGGTAAGAAAAACTAGCTCTATAAACCAGAGGTTTTCAAAAGATACATAGTTCAAATACTGAAGGGGCGGTGCCATGCTTTGCTGTCGTAATAATGTGTATCTGTGCGCGTGTGCCTTAACACGTACACAATATAATCTTATCTATTCTGGACCTTAGATGCAATATAATACGCACCAATGATACAAGATCAGTCACAATTGAACCATTTCTTTTTTATTCTCTTGTACCTTGTGTCAAAGTGATACATCAACAATAATTCTTATTACTATTACTTCAATGGCAACGCTGTACATTATTATTTGTACATTGTCTTGTTCTTTATGCTTGTGAACACAATTTTTTTATCAAAATGTGACAGTTGTTTCGGACACAATATTTGAACAAACGATAAAAAACATACGATTCTTAGTCTTCATTTATCAACATCTGTGCAACATATAGGTGTGATATGGTATTAAACAATCAGGTATAATTGTCTATCGTCTACATTAACATGCAATGTCGTTACAGTGTTGTTTGATATACTCCAGTTGACCTTATATTATTAGTAATTGTGTCTGTTTCCATTTAAAGCAGTCTTTTTCAATCGTCATATTCAAAAACTCTATGTAGATTGATGGGTCATCTCTCTTTCAACTTGAAGAATGCTTCTTATTGCATTGGGAATGTAATTGAGTTAGTATTGTGAATACATACAATACAGAAACAGAGAAATTAGTAAAGAGCATTTGACGTTTCTTCGCCATATTAAGGAACGTTTTATCTTTTTGTACATAATGTACAGAGGCTTTCCTTTTTACACTAAAATACAATAGTCGTATTTTGTGCCAATTATAAAGGGCGCATAACTGGCGTTGGACACACGGTGGTCATGAAGGGATTCTGTTAATTTCAGTTTTAGAAGAATTTTATGTTTCTCGTCCAAGAGTATGATAATTGTAAACGACATGCAATGTCTCGCAATGTCTCGCGTAAAACCGCGATAAGCAACATAGACTGCAGCGCAGGTGTAATTATTTGTGCTTGTTTGTCAACAACGTAATACCTATGACTAGACCAGCTTATTTCTTGAGCAGAAAAGAACGGATACATTCTTTGGTACGTACAATATAATCAGTCAGCTGACAGATTCTGAAAGCCTATGAAAGAAGAAAAGGAGCAAGCGCGAGCAGCCAGAATTACGACTGAAAAGAAACCCCAAATACTTCAAGTTGGTAAATTGTCAATTCACAGTTAACTTGTGTATTGCTTTGATTTCACCTAGATGAAAATTAAGAAAAGACCTCTCACGCTCACCCTTAACGACAAAACAAATACCGATTTTATTTCTGCGGCACCTAACTGTAGATAGACTATTGCTGGAGGAAATCCATTGTCAAGTGTATCAGTTATGGCACTAGTACTGAGGTCAGAAGACGGCTGTTTCACAAGTATTTCACAATTATATATATATATACATTCCAATACACTATATGAAAAATTAGTCTGTATGAAGTACAGAAAGTATTATTGTGAGTTGTAAGTCTGATAGTAATTAAGTGAGAGGAAAATATTTCAAATTTTCCGAAATAACAGTCGGATATATGGTCTCTTTTATGTCATGAAATATACACAAAAGGTCATTCGAAATTTTTTAAAAGTGGCAACCCTGGAGTGATGGAAACGGCATTAGAGTTGTTGATTTTCGTATCAAATATATATTTATCGACAAAATCTGAGGTTGGTACTTAAAAGTCACAAATATTCGATCGCTCGTTATATTCATTGTTCCCGGAACCCTTCACATCTGTTCTTTTATTACTATTGATGAGAATTGTCAGATGACTGGCATCAAGACAGAATTTCGCAGAGCTACAAAGAATGAACACGATTTGAACGGGCACTTTGACAACTCAATGGGTTTCGTCACAAGTAAACGATCCAATTTGAAAAGAAAGGTTAAGGTTAAGGTTATACAAACAAGATTTCATGGTAAGTAATTTTCAAAATATCTTTTTTAGTTTATATTATAATACTTCTGACTACTTGATGTTATCAAATAATTATTTAGCAAACATTTTCTTTAGTAATAATTTGGTGTCGTTTGAAAAAAGCTTTTCATATACTTTCATATTCAGTTTTTTTGCCGAAAGATTTAGAAGGTTGATATATCCTGATATACCTTTTTAAAATCACAGAAGATTGTTGTTCAGTTTATGTTGTTTCCTTTTTGCATTTAAAGCCTCTTAAGCTGCGTCGGAATTCAGTTCTGAAGCCTTTGTGGAAGCAAGCGTACAGCAATGGGTGTACGACCCTGGTGCTCAGCATCAGTACATAGGCAACCGTCTCAAAGTTGTACACCACAGGGCTCTTCACGAAGTACTCAATCAGCAGTGCCACGGGCAACGGTATCCAGGCAACGATGAACGCCAGGATGATGTAGACTGAGCGGATTGCGGCAGACTTGTCCATGGCATCTGGCATTCTCTGGCTAGGAGAGCGGTCAGCGAGGCGCGTTCTCCTCCTCCTGTAGCCCTCAGAGGGTGCTTTACCGTCCCGGGAGGTATTGGACGCCGCTCCGGTCTCCTGCCTGTCCGCACTTGGTAGCGGCGACTTCTGTCCGTTCAAATCTAGGGATGGTGGGCAGGTGACGTCAGGAAGGGAGGTGTCATCGTCTCGATAGTACCGAACAGTTTCTGTGTGGAAGTCGATCCGACTGACTGTGGACTTTGGGGCGGTGCCATTGTCGTCATCAGAGGGCTTTCCTTTGTCTTCTTCCCCGTTGGAATTTGGCCGCACACGGAATCGTTTGGTCAGGTCAGGCAATGTCCAGCTCAGTTTCCGCCGGGTGATCTCCTCGGCGGGATGGTCGACAGCTGGGGGATGTTCGACAACCGGGTTGCAGGTATGGCTGATGCCGGGTACAGGGGCGTGGCCCTCCTGACTCAGGTCGTAGCTGTCGGCGTGTGTCCAGCTGATTCTTCTCTTGAAGAAGGAGCGGTGGCTGTGAAGGGCAGACATTGACGAACGCCTGGGCGATTTGGGAATGTCCGTATGCGTCCTTGGCACGACGTTGGGCGAGAGGGATTCGCTCATGTTTTCCAGTTCGTATCCCTCTGTAGCTGAATGTGGCAATTTTTTGTCCCTTTCTCGAAATACGGCTGTGGTTGGCACAGAGAGGAAGTTTCCGAACGTGTGAAACTCGTGCGCATGCCCAGGCGTCACCGGCCGGTCCCCCTCCTGGTCTTCGGGGATGGCCAGGAATTTCCCAGCATGCCTTTGTTCGTGACCATGCACGGGGCGGCCATGTTGGTGCGCCATGATGTTTTCGTGATCGAACAGAAAATGTTGTCTGCTGGGGACTTGTTGGGGCGTCGAATCTTCAGTCAGTTCTTCTATGTCTGTATCTGGCATACATGGAGATGATGTTGTGTTTGGCGTGCAAGTGGAGCTTGAGTAGTAAGAAGGCATAGGGCTGGGAGGGATGGGGGATGGATGGGTAGTCATTGGGCCTGGGGGGACGGGCGAGGGCAGGCGGGAGGTACACGGGGAGGCTATGGGCGTCTGGAGAGTGATTTGAGACGATGTTCCGCTCGAGAAACACGGGCCAGGGGAACTGACGGGAGAGGCAAACGTAAAGGCAGCGCTGTTGTCGGTGAGAGCGGAGGGAGAGAAGATGGAGGGCGTGGCAGGGACGATGACGACGCTGCAGTCCTGCGGCAGGGACTTGTTGTCGGGGCCGGTGTTTTCTGGTGCCGCTTGGACGAAGATGACAGGGCGGCGTGGGCGAAGTCGTGTCAGTCGGCGCTTCATGTGGATCCTGGAAGTTAAGATATATTGAGAAAAACATTATTTCTATATTGCATAAAAAGTAAACTCTACCTGGAGGTGTTAAAAAAGCAATGTTAGGCTAAGTGTACACACGTTTAAGATATTTATGATGTTTTGTTTAGAGATATTGTTACAAAAGGCAATTGGCGTCTGACGCATACTTTCGAGAATGAAAGTCTGACTTTTTATCTTCTATGGTTCTTCGCCTTTCCTATAACTCTTTCCATTTTAATCAGTTAATTGATCACCTTAATGTACTAGTGACTCATTCAACACAGCATTAATCAACTGAACATCACGAAAACGATTGTCATCTACCTAATGGATCACCTTAATTGCAATATAAATCCGATTCCACCTGAGATAATCCAAGTCTCATTGAGATAACAAGCACAGCAGTAGATTATGCAAAATGGTAGAAATAATTGATATGATCAAAATAATGGAACATTGCTTTGCGTCATCGAAATTAATTTATTTAAGAATCCGTCAAAATGTTTCACACGCGCAAAAAAAGATCTATGTTTAAATATTCGTACCTGACAGCCCTGACGATGAGAGCGTAGCAGACCGTCACCACTAAGAGCGCCACGAGCCCCACGGGCACCACGCTGTACGTCTGCAGCGGGATGGCGTCCGTCTGCCGGCCCAGGCCGCCCCCGCGCCCCAGGCACCGCTCGTGGAAGTGTGAAGTGGTCGGTAAGACGGCCTCAGCCACAGCCACGGTTAGGCCGGCGATCCAGGCGAAGCTTACGCACACCGCCACTCGGATGGTCTTACTGTCGCAACTAGGAGATGGAAACATGCCGTTGTCAGGAAATGTAAGGTGTCAAAACATACACATATTTGGTATTGGAATCACAGCAAGCTTTGAGCAAAGAGATGACAAATGCTCTCTTGTAGGATCGTCCTTTTCGTTGTCCGGAAAATGTTTCCAGCTTTGGTGAAAAAGTCCCCATCAGGGGCCTTTAAGAAGTGATCTGTACGGAAGACTACTAGGTAATTCCGGAAAATTCGTCATCTTAAACCTAGGACACCTTTACTGTCAGCCATGAGTACTCCTTTTGTTATCAAAGAACCGTTCTGACACATGGGGACCACATCATGTTTTGTTATTACGCCTTCATGTATTGATTTGCTGCCTATGTCTATCTCTTTAAGAGCCTGTGTCAAATACATCCGCGCCTTTATGACCCCAGATAATGGTAATTGCCAAACAGTTATATTCAAGCATGTGTTAGCAGATATCCTCATCGACTATAGCCTTGAAAGTGAGTCCAAAAGGGAGTCCAATAAAGTCTCCAACCACCAGTGGCCGAGAAGCAATTGCCCTTTTACTTAACTATGAAGCAAAAGACCAGAAATCCAATATAGATAGAATGTGGGAGTAGGCCCCCGGAGGTGCAGAGTAATCATTGAAATGGATTATGAAAAGAGGAACAGAACTCTGGGGACGAGTTGATGACGCAAGCAAAGTGAGGAAAGATTGCTTCAGCATCGACCTGTGAAAAATCGATTGCCGTCTCTTCTGCTTGAATCACAGGTTTGTAACAGCCAGTTGGACACAGAGTTGGGCTACTTGTTGGTGTGTCCTGCCTTGTAGCATCTTTTCACAGGGTAACATCGTCCTTCAGGAAGTACAACAACATCATAGTGGTCTATACCCGTTAATGATATAGATATAGTCTCACATACCACTGTATTTTCTTCCTCATGTTGTTTGTAACTGCAATTAGCCCTCGGGCAAGTATTTGCAATAAACTTTCAATGATTGATTAAGTCTTTCTAAGGAATTAGTATATAGACTCTTATCACAGAGTTGTGTGTACTCAAAGGTGTACATGTGTATATCCAGTTTGCTCTATATGCTGTCAAGGCAACTTCTGTCTCCCAGTTCAGGACAAAAATATGAATGTTGATGATTTGAAATGAATGTGTCTAAGAAAGCACGCTACACCGCTTTTGCTGGCGCCAGATGTCGTGTTGGTAGTTGACCCAGGGTCAGTCTGCCCATGTTAATATCAACGATAAAAAAGGAAGCTCAAAGTAATATCTTCAAAGCACGAGGCTTTCTTTACACTAATAGCGGGATGTCTGGACCTCGCATCTGTATTAGGACAATTAATCATCACAAGATAAGCTTAAAGGCCTGAACTTTAAGGCAAAGGTGACTTGAATTACGCTCGAAAAGATAAAAGATAATTTACTGCAATACCGCGGTGCGTTTCTTTAGCAATAATCTTAGACGGATGCAAGGGAGCATGTCGTCTCAGAAGGTATAGAGATAACGCAAGAAAGCATGAATTATGGTTCCATATATCTCAAGCTCTTAGTTTTGAAGGAAGATTCATAATCTGAGTGCTTTATTTGGCATCGTAAATTAGTGAATTTCAATAATTTTCTAAATGTCAAGACATTCAAACTCGTTTAATAATTGCACAGACTATGTCAATGCTTTGAAGACTGATTTTATGTTGAAAGGAAAAAGAAGCTATTGGTACATAACAGGCAAGTTTTATTTCAGGAATCGTATACAAACAGCACAGACATCACGCAGAGATAGAACACGTAAAACGTACACGGGGAGCAATAAGTTGTAAAACCATGATAATATATCATTCGCTGATATAAGCTTGCTTGTCTTATCATCGCAGAGGACAACCAGTGAAGTCTAACAAAGAGTTGACAATTGCAAGGGGCAGGTAGTAGAAGTCAATTTTGTACAAAAACTTAAGACAAGCACCTTGTTTTCAATAAGAACATTGTGTCGTCTGTAGGCAATAACAGTTTACAAGAATTGGTGAATGGTAGATTAAAAGACAACTTTCCCATTAGGGTCACAGCTGCCCGATCGATTCTCTGACTGCACTACCTAATTCCTAGATGCTGAGAGTTTTCAAATCCCATTTTCATCATTTCCCTCCCAACGGGCGGCCTAGCCGAGACGTCCGGACAGTGACGCACATACCTTCAATAGCCCCACCCTTCCAATTACAGGCGCCATTTTGAAATGTGTTCCCGCGAGAGTACATCGTGGCGAGAACCTTGCGTGAGCTTGTACGAAAGCGAGGATGGACACAAAGGTCCGTGTTTACGTTTGAAAGTCTGAAATCATGGTACCTGCACAGACGGCAGTAGCCAGTCATCTTCCGTACACATTTTCCTACCATAACCATTGCCTTAAGTATGCCAGTCCTGGCCCCAACGATGACCGCGGAATGCCTCTTGTCTAAGTCCAAAATTAGCGCTGAAAACATGATGTGTTCCATTTGTGTCAATGAGGCCATTTGGAAGAAAGCAGCCATCAGAGAGGTCGATACTAGAACCATTACCTCATTCCACGTCTCCTACTGCGTAGGTGGTCCCTGATAGAGTCGGGATTTGTACCTGTGCATTCAACAGTGTCCCTGCGGTGCCGGTATTAGCAAATCTATCAGAAACAGGATTGCAGGTGGGAGGGAATAGCACCACTGGGATTATAACGTTACAATTTTGTTGAGTGCTATGGGGTGGGGTTGGATAAAAACATATTGCGTTGTGGATCAACTTTGCTATATTTTTGTAGAAGCTGAAGTACCAAAACACGTTTGATTTTGTTTATAAATCCTTCCAATGGCGGGAACAAACGAAAATACAATGATTCACCCTGACATATCTAACATTGAGCGCTATACTGAAGGGTATGCTTCAATTATTGAAATACAAAAGGCAATTCTAAGTCTTATCACCAAGCTAACGTCTGGAAAGTTCCTCACTGAATTGTTTCTTTTGTATTTCAGTCAGTTAAACAGATCTAACTAATGTCGTGCCTTCAGGCGATCCTTCTGAACTGATACGAAAAAACTATTGCTTTGATACTTCTTATCTCATGCTGAGGTAAAACATATGTGCCGTTTAGTTTCTCATGAAATCCTTTCTTGGCAGAGACCGCGGGCATAACGTTATACTGCAACTCTTATCGAAAAAGAGGTATACATTTACTTGTCCCAAATGTCTTGATATCTACATGTAACCGTAGCTAAAGCTTGTCACTGTGTTCTGTACTGGTACATGTAAGTCATAAACGTCGCTATATAATGTATCAGATCTAGTGGAATCATAACTTTGGGGTATAAGGTGGTGTTCAATTTTCTCACCTTTTTTATCACTCCCAGACCTTTGTGCAATATCCTTTTATAGCTTACTTTTTCTTTCTTCACATTTCTTTCTTTTGCTCACATTTCGTTCTTTTGCGGGAGCCCCCAAACGAAGCAATTTGAACACGGATACAGACGTAGAAAAGCAAGACGTATGGCGCCATATTCCATTCATACCTGACGTTATTCCATGCGGTTTCGATGAATGGATTCCCTACTGTGATATAGTGTTTGGATGCTGGAGTAGAGATGAAACCAATCATCAGTAAATTGTTTGTTCATAATAGGCCCATTCATCTAGTTCAGTTCTCCTCTTCTTTCATGAAGACTGGCCTAATAGGTGGGCTATATTTAGAGTCTATGTTTCCCACGAGCACGCTTAAGCCATGGTTTAAAAGCAGGAGATGACAGGGGCCATGGAAAGGATTGATGTTTGTTATTTGAGCGGACTGCTGGAGATATGTTCAAGTCAATCCTCGGGAAAGCTTCGTTTTATTTTGTCCATGCATCATCAATTAAAGCGTCAGATGCTCCCAATTTACGTTTATGGGAGACACAAAAAGCAACAAATTGGCGGCAGCGTGCAGTTTGAAAAAAAGTAATACAATGTACTGAGAAAAAAATACCGACAAACAACATAGCCCAATTACCAATGATCCTAAGGGCCCGCTTGTATTTTCTTTTAAGGTCAACTTTCAATTTACTCTGATATATCTTTTAACGTTTCGTTTACTGTCTTAACTTAGATTCAAAGACTTGAACTCGTCGTATTGCCTTCGTAAGAAAATATTCAGTGCGAAACTACCTCCAGGGGACAAGACAGACTTTATGTGTCAGATTTTACTTGAGATTGTGCACTAGTCAGTTCATGATACACCTACTGATACTGTCAGGTATTGAGATGCTGGGAAATCTCACGACACCTTCGGTGTAATATATAATCGTGCTCCCTATTGATATCTAGTAGACATATGTAGTAGAGGCCTATGGCTAGAGTTCTCTATAGGCTACCTGCTACTTGTTATTCATCTATTCTCCATGTCCTTTATACCTCCAGAGAAAAGAAGCCCATTGGATATCATTCTATTGATTGATAACCAAGATAAATCTTACTGGCGTTTGGTTCCTTTTAAAACCCCGCCAACGATTCAGAATGCCAGTCTGACAATATTGCGTTCCTTCGAACGATCCTAACATATGAGAGGCTCAAAGAAATGGCCCTGGATCTGAGACGGTTTATTACATTGACCAAGCGGCGGTGAATGCCGTCTTTAACGGGTAATTTCCTACAATGCATGATGTAAAAGCAGATTCTAGAGAAATGATTTTGGTAGGTATTGCATATACTTAAAAAGAAAGGATCATCTAAGCATTGGTGTTCAAGTGATGTAACGTTGCTGAAGCTTTTAAACGGATTCTTATTCTGAATAGTCATTGATGAAATGTTACCAATGCATAAAAAGTAACCACTGTGTATGGTAAAAAGGCCACACCAAATACCAAAGGCGAATCAAAGTCAAGAAGCAGTTACCTCAAAGTCGTCAGCCGTTCCCATCGTAAACGGGTAATTTTCATTTCAAAGCGAAGAAACTCCCGGACCCGTCACTTTGGTTGTAGTGAACTTTATCTGGTAAAAGTCTGAGAAAATTGAC